TGGGTCACGCTCGTTTGGCTTTCGCTTCAGCCACTACCACATGGCACCCTTTCCAGCTCCACTTTGGGGCCTAGGGATTTTGTGTCTCACAATCGGGTGTTACGGTAAGTTGGACCGCAAGTTTATGAGGTTCACCATGATGTCCAGCAAGCTGATCCTTCAAAGATTGTGCATGTGCAACAGTTGAAACACTTTATACAAAGGGATCAAGAGCAATTAATACCCTTTACAAATCCACCAATGCCTCCTCCTGATGTTCCTCTAAATCCCGGCCTGTCTACAAGAGAACCTTGATGGCCTTTCATTATTTTGAGAGGAGGGGATGATGTGAGGGCCAAGTGTACGGCTATGATGCCATATACTAATATTAGCATAATGGGATTTTGGTAGCCGTCGGATTGGTTTCAATTTGGACCACTTGCTCCTGTATATAAACTAAGGTTTTTGGGCTAATTGATATGCACATTTCTGTATTCCCTTTCCATATTCCAAGCACTCACAAGAATAAATTTAATCATTAGATTGAATGTAATAATGTTAAATTAAAAACCATTGCAAAATTTTACTAAATAAAAAAAGAAAAACCAAAGAGAAAATGAAAAGTACCAAAATCATAACTACATGTTCATAGATCCCATGTTAACATTAAAAGAAAAACCCTCTCCTTTTTAGACATTAAGAAAAAACTAGTAAAATTTTAGAACTACAAAATTTCATACTTACATAAGTTTAAATTATTAATGAATTAGAATAAGAGTTAAATTGCAACTATAAACAAAATGAGGGTGAGTAATTCTTCCTTTTTTGCAAATTTCTTTCTCAAATCATTAAAAAATCCCTTCTAAAAATACATAATAGCAAAAATAAAATGGGCAAAATTTTTAAATAATGTGCTATGTAAAATTATTTTATTTATGTATTTTACTAGGCATCCCCCATTTTGGGTGGGCTAGGGTTTAATTGAATAGTCTGGAGAATATACCTCGTAATTATTCGCCGAGCATCTATCTAGCATAAGCCCTAAACCCCGAGAGCAATGCAAGCTCTCGGCTATGGCGCCTCTCACTCTAGAGCATCCCCGAGATTCCATCTCCCGGCGCCAGTGCTAGGTCGACCTTGCGGTACTGATTTTGTGGATAGATCGTTTGGCAGCGACGTCCAGAGGATAAATGCAGGCTCTAGGAGTAGATTTCGAGCTCGCCCTAGCGCGCAGCTGAGTAGTGACGACCAATCGGTGCCGGAGGGGTCGTCGAATCGAAGGCTGCGAGCCGCGCTGAGCAGATATTACAGGAATTTTGTCCAGGATCTAAAGGCCGAGGCTGGGGTGGATGTAGAGAACATTAAGGAGGTCGTGACTGCTCGGTACAAGGAATTACGCGAGAATGCCTCTCATGTCTTTGACAGAGCGGCGTCAACAGCGCAAGACGCTAGAGGAAGATTGGAAGTCGCTAGAAACGAAGGTGATGAGCTGCTCGAGGATTTCAGGCTTAAGGTATGGCCTCGAATCGTAGCCTGGCACCACTGGGAGCGATGGAAGGTATGATTTTTCTAGCAGATTGATGTTGATTCTCAAACCAGTATTGTTTTTGGGTTTGTTTCTCAGAAGTTGGATGCTCAACACATTGGAGCGCTTGTTCTGTACCTTCTCCTGGTAATTGGTTCCTTCCGAGGTCTCTACGTAGCGGCAACCACACCTCGGCTAAGCAAAAGAGAGGCCAAGGAATTGACTGAGGCGTACTTGGAGGCCACGATTCCAGAACCAACGTTGGAAAACGTTCGCAAGTAAGCTAGATTTGTCTCGAAGATGTCCTTTGATGGATGTTGTATCGTTTGAAATAGGCTGGAGAAGTTTCAATGGCGAGAAAATATGCCTGGCGGTGTTCGCGTACGAAAGCATCTACTGCAACCCGATGGGAGTTATCGTCACGATCCTTCGTTCGTTGGAGAGCACGCTTGGGACGATGATAGCAATGAAGCAGCGGCAGCGCAAGAATTGAACAAAGGTGCCGAAGGTCACGAAAACCGATATTTCGATTCCCTCCTGATCTCCTTCCTTCGTTTCAGATACTGGAACCAACGAGAAGCTTACGTGGAGAGAAAGACTGACGAAACTAGAGGACATGCTTGAAAAAGAAAGCATCAAGGAAGACACTGATGCGTTAACAAGCAAGTATGTTGTCCTCCTGGACAGCGAGGAGATGGCCAAGGATATTGCTGAGAAAAAAGAAGAGCCGGTTATTCCTCCGCAATATGGGAGGGGTTTCTGGGCTGCCAGAAGGTGGTGGAAATACAGGCCGAAGATGCCTTACTTCGATTTTTTTGAGAAAGTGGAGAGAATGGAGGTAAGCATTAGCAAGGAAAGGATTGTTCTATAATGCTCCTGGGATTTTTGCAGGTTCAAAGTGCCGTATTTAGCCAAGACCGGACTCGGTTGTTCGTGACAATGAAAGAAGGATTTCCTTCCGAGTTTGTGGTAAATATCAGCATTTAGCTATTCTCCTGAAACAGCCACATTGCAGGTAGATGCTCCAGCAGATCCTTATCTAAATGACGCGCTGCAAAGGTTTCAGGTGGAAGTGGATACAATTCCTGAGAGCGGGTTACGTAACATACTGCGTGCCTACGCTATTCTTCTCCCGTGTTTTTTCATTGCTTTGAAGCTGGACAATACAATTTTCAACATCCGGCGAAATGCATCTGAAAAGATCGTGGACCTTATCAAAATGAAATCATCAAGCATCGTTCTGGTATGGTTTAAACTCGAAACTTCAATTTCTTGGAATTATTCCTGAAAATTTGGACAGCCAGAACAAGCTGAAGAAGCCGGCTTCCCATCTTTCGATGATGTGATAGTAAGCCACACAGTGTGGAGGGTGGTGGAGGAAATCGGTAACTACTTGAGCGATCCAATGCGATATTATGATAAATTTTGTTTCATTCCTCGGGTAAGCAACGATAACATGTGTCTGTGTAATGTTTTTAAGTCGTGCAGGGTATTCTGATACATGGGCCTCCGGGTACTGGCAAGACTCATATCGCAAGGGCAATGGCGAGGGAACTTCAGCTCCCATTCATATTTGCCTCAGGCTCAGAGTTTGGAGATTCTGAAATCCCCGGTCCTAAAAAAGTGTTCGACCTCTTTTTTACTGCCAGGGCCAATGCAAGTATCCTTTCATTGCTGATGCGATTGAAGTAATTGACGTGTAAGTTCTCAGGCACCTTCGATCGTCTTTATCGATGAGATTGATGCATTGGCGGGAAAGCAAGTCGATGAGGATCCGAGGAGGCTGAAAACTTTCAAACAACTTATAAAGGAGCTAGATGGCCTGTAAGGACCGATATCAGTATCTAAATGCTTACGTTTCATATCCTTGAGACAGGGAGATCGACACGGAAGTACACAGATTTGCTCCGCGGCAGGCATTTATTTTGATATGTGCAACAAACCGTCGAGACGATCTGCACGAAGCATTTCTACAGCGTCAACGAATCGATCGCGAGATTCATGTGGGATTGCCCAAAGAAGCAGAGAGGCTGAGAATCTTCAAAGTACACACTGCAAAATACAAGCTAGCCGATGACGTAGACTTTGAAAAGGTAGCACGTCTCAGATTCTTATTGTCTGTCACTTACGCTTACGCAGGTTGTATACCGCACCAGAGGGTTTTCAGGGGCCGATCTCAAAAACTTTGCGAACGAGATTTTTGTTTACGCGGTACGCTTTTTTGTTTCTGATGTGCTGCTCTTCACCTGGTCCTGGTTTTGCAGAAGCAAAAAGGTCGCGCATACATTCAGCAAAGTGATCTTTTAGATGTTTTGGAGAAACAGCTGTTTGAAGGAATAGGCATGACAGTTACTCAGGAACAACAGAAAGAGTCGGAACTAAAGGTCAGTGTGAAATAATTCTTTAGTTTCTACTTGCACTAAGATCTTTTCAATTGTCAGGTGAAGGCGGAAACAAAAAGGCTACTGGCAGCTCATGAAGCTGGCCATGTTCTGCTAGCGCATCTTTTCCCTCGTTTCGATTGGCATGCGTTTACGCATTTGTTGCCTGGAGGCGCAGAGTCCTCGCTGTCCGTGTTTTACCCCTCAGAAGACATGCTTGAGTACGGTGGAACAATCGGATATTTCGAGGCCCAGATGATAGTGGCTCATGGGGGTCGTGGAGCAGAGATTCTCTTGCTTGGCGACAACATCACTGATGGATGGACTGACGACCTCGAAAAGATATCTGCGGTAATTGTGCTTCAAAATGCTCTATCTACTTCATTGAAAAATTTCTTTCCAGCTTGCAAGGGAATGTGCCGTGCACCCGGAAAATCGAAACCTAGGACTTTTGCAAGTAGCAAGGAAACCGCTTCCACCGCGTCCACGTCCTCGACCAGAAGAGCTCTACCCAATGACGGTACGTATTGTCTGTTTCCTAAGTTATCTTATGTGAGAATGCTGTTTGGACAGTGGAATCATCCCCGCTCCATCGTGATTCCGATGACCCTCGAGGTTTCAGAACTTGTAGGCAGAGAAATCCAAATGGTGAGTGATGACGAAACTTTTATTTCAAACCTTTCAAGCATTTGGTGCTTGGCAGTTTATCGACGACACAGAAAAGATGGCCATGAAGGCGTTGCAAAACAATAGACACATCCTGGAGAGGCTAGCCCGTGAACTGGAGCTAAACATAAAAATGACGGGAGATGTAAGTTTCCTGGATTCGTTTTTGCTTGAATTCTTGACATGTTGCGAGCACAGGAAATCAAGGACATCGTGCATTCTATGAACCCGGTTTTACTGCCTGACATAGGCGGCCCACCTGATTTCTCGAAGGCTGTACCGATTGTAAGTTAATGACCCCGGATGGACTGCACGTTTCTAAGCTATTTTTCGTGCAGGATCCAACTCCTGAGGAGATCCGTGACGGCTACTACCGGGATCTGGATGTCTATGCAGATCGATTACATCGTTGCTAGACCAAGGTTCGTCTTCTACTTCTCGACTTTGCGTAGAATCAAATCAACACCAAATTGCATCTTAAAACTTGGAAGGTTATTAAGTCCGCTAAGAATCTATAGAGGCTGTGTTGCATCAAGGAGCCACTCCGAATGAACACCAGACAAATGAGGTCCCAGCTTCTCTCGGCAGCCAACATGGTACTCGTTGACCCATGCAATCTCTTCAGGTGACAGTAGCGACATGTCGATGAGCTTCCTCTGGAAAGGGACCTGAAAGACAGGAGGAAAGGATAAGAGCTGGAGATCTCATGAAGAACACTCCATACCCAAGTGATGTGCTCGAAACAGAGGTAGCCTTTGTCTGAGAAATTATGTGCTGTTTGAGCTTCCTTGACAATGAGAACGTTTTCCAGTCGCACTCCAAACTTGCCATCTTCGTAGTATCCCGGCTCTGTGGAAGAGAAGCTCTTAGACGGTTGTGGTTTCTTATGTTAGCAAATACTTACCGTCCGTTACGGTCATGGAAGCTTGCAATGGGACGTTTCGAGCCTGTGGCTTAAAGCTAATAAGATGAGGTCCTGTGCGAAGAATGCAAGTAAAACATTAGCTTGAAGAAAATCGCCATGGTAAGCGTTACCTTCGTGAACATTAAGATAGGAGCCAACACCGTGGCCTGTCCCATGTCGATAGTCCAGTCCACTTTTCCATAGTGGAACCCGTGCCAATACGTCCAAAGCATGGCCTACAAACACATAAACATCAGGATTTGTTCGAACTAGTAACCGAATGCTAGATACCAGTTGTTCCATTTGGAAAAATGGCCGAATCCAACGCGATGTGTCCTTTTAAAACCTGGTAGCGAGATCATGAGAAGAAAAACAGAGAAGATGCGAGACACTAACCTGGGTATAGCAAGCCTTTTCATGCGGCGAAGGCTTGCCAAAATGCACGGTACGGGTGATATCTGTTGTTCCATCCAAGTACTAAAAGAAACTTGTCAAGACGTGGAAACGAGAACGTTATACCTGTCCTCCAGAGTCGCAGAGATAAATCGAGTCCGGGTCAAGCTCGGCACAGCTCTCGGGTTTTGCAGCGTAGTGAATGACAGCAGCGTTTGCTCCCACCGAGGAGATGGTTTCAAAGCTCAGTCCTCTGAAATGCTGACAGATCGAACACAATAAGATCACTAACTAAAAGACCATAGCACACATCGAACCTTTTGCGTCGAACGAAATTCTTCGAGCTTGTCACTTACAGAAATTTCTGTCAATTTCTCCACCTCTCTGAAAACAGAAGAGTTTGGCCGAGTGAAGTCAAGCACGTGAGACTTACGGTGATTTGCGTTTGAGAGATGTTTTTGTTTCTAGGAAGTAACCAGGGGCACCATAAATTTCCTGCATCTGTCCTAGAAACAAACACGATTTAGAGAAAAAAAAAACATAGCGAAAGCATTTTTCTCTTAGACCTGGTTATCAAGCCAAGCGAAGAAAGACACCACTGCAACTCCGTCACGAACATGAGAGTTTCGAAGACCCTCAAGCTCTGCAGGATGCTGCACCCATGTTGTAGCTCAAATAACTCTGTTTTCTGGAAAAATAAATAAAATTTCTCTGACCTTCAAAGCTTTGGACAGAGCTATTGGCGATTGCTGCAACAACATTTCGTCGGCTGGAATGTCGGGGTACAGCTTGAGAGGGCAGGAGTTCGGGTCTATCCATATTAGACCTTTCCCATCAATTACTTCTTCGGGACAGGAAACTAACGCATCAAGGTCCTGTACAACCTCCTCGTAGTCTTTGATCACCACTTGGTTTTCCGTCAAAAATCTCTCAACCTGTAGAAATATATCAGCAAAAGGAACAAAAGAGATAGACGAAATGATACCTCCGCAGTTATTTTGTGCTTATCAACATAATAGAACGCAGAATCGAGAGTGACAATCGCATAGGCATGGACAACAGGATTGTACATGACATCGGAGCCTCTCAAATTAAAAAGCCAAGCAACCTACAGCAACGGAACAAAAAAGATGAATTTTTGTGAGAAGACGAAGGTACCTCGTCAAGTGTCGAAACAACGAGAGCAAAGGCTCTCTCCTGAGAAAGTTTCCCACGAATATCAGCAAGCTTCTCTGCAACACTCCGCCCGGCAAACTCGAGCGGCTGGATGGTCACAGGAGAAACCGGTTGCGCGGGACGGTCCTTCCAGATCTCGTCGACAAGGTTGCGCTCGGTCTTCACCAGCTCAATTCCTTTCTTAGCGAACGCCTCCCTCCACCTCTTTGCATTAGAGACGGAGACACACCAAGCGTCCACTCCAACGGAAGCATTGCTTTCCAGGTTCTGAAACAAAGAGCGTGGCATCAAAGCTCTTTCCAAGATCTCCATGAAGAACTCACATCGGCCAGCCAGCTTTCCACGACTGGATCCTCTCCAATTCGCATCAGCTTCCACCGCTCGCTGAGCTGCTGCGTGGCCTGAAGGAAGTAGCGGCCATCGGTCCACAGCAATGCCTCGTTCTTGGTAATGACGGCCAGGCCTGTGTAGAAAAAAGGAAAATCCAATCCACGCGAGTGTTTGATTGGAAACAAGTGGAAATCGAGATCACTCTTACCGGCGCTGCCGCTGAATCCCGACACGAATTCCCGCCGCTTGTCCCTGTCCGCGACGTACTCGCTCTGGAGAATGAAAAGGACGATTGAAGAAGAATGCGAAGAGAATCGAGAGAGCCGACCTGGTGAGCGTCCTCGGATGGAACGATGAGTGCGTCCAGGGGCGGATCGCGGGACGCCATGAGCGGCCGGAGCGCGTCCAACGGATCCATCACCGCAAACCCACCCTAAACCCAGGGTTCACTTTCCAGCCGTATATTCTTGTAGATTATAAACTATAGCTGTGATCGCACAATAGCTCGTTCATGACAAGAACTTAGACCAAACTACACAACACCCGAATCTGGTAAGATGATTTGTGTTCGTAGTTTTGGTGTAGGTTTTTTTGTAGTGCCACATTATCATTGCTTCCAGAAAGGCACATTTTCCCCTTTGTATGTTTGTTTGACCGTGTCACTGCGTTGTTTGAGCACAAGTATGGCATTTGACACTTATTTTCAGTTGTTTATTATCCAGTTCGTTGAATATCAAGAATTTTGGTAAGAACAAATACTTGATGAACCTACTATATGAACTAATTTGTAGAATCCTTAAGGGTTTTGGCTAAAATAATAGTGTTTAGTGTTATGGGTGATTACTGAAATGAAAAAAAAAAGTTTATAACCAAAAATTAACATGGTTGGCTTTCAGCTCACGAAACAAATATCTTCTTGTTGATTCGGAAGAGGGACACATCACCTATATATTGCCAGGGTTGAGCTGAAGACACTATGCTATTCCTGATAGTGAAGTGCGGGGCGTAGGCTTTTGGATGAAACGTGATGTGATCCCCTGACGTTACGAGGGTACAATCGTCTCTACCCAACATGCTAACATATGAGATGACCTCAAGCTCTTCTCCTTGTGTCATGTATGCATAACCCTTGTTAAAATCACTGTAACGCCACCGATTACTGAAGAGGCCAAATAATGAGTACAACCATGTTCTCTTCTGGAAGACGTAGAGCTTCATGAACTTAGTCAAGTGGAAAAAAGCTTGATCATACCCTCGGTATAATGGAGTTCTAAAAAAGTCGATGAGAAGCAAGAGCAAAGATGCTAAACTCGAAGCCCCGCTTAGTTTCCTAGCCTGAAGAATTAGGGGTATGGTCGCCAGGAACCCAGAGAGTTTTGAGTTGTACTCCATCATGTTGAACTCTCTTCCGTATATAACAGTCCTTTCCTCCACCGGGTAAAAGTGCATATCCCTGTTGAACATCATGAGCATGGCCTCCTCCTCGCTGATTTGTTGCGCAACCGAGTACTTCTGGTCAAGATGATAGAGATCCTTGACGAAGACACACTCGCTGAGCTTGTATACGGACACCTCAAAGAAGACATCCTGGTGCACCCAGTAATACTTGTGGTTGTACTCTACTTGGTACCAGCAGTCCTCGAAACTTAGATAGTGGATGCCATTGTCTTGCTTGCCAAGCATACGCTCCTTGAATTCCTGCCAATCTTTATATGGACCATATGGCCTTCGAAGTGATTCCAATGCTTGGTAATCCTTGTTGACCCAAATGATCCTCTTCTTTGGAGTTCCGCCACTAGTCAAGAGCCACTGCAGTCCATAGTAGCACAGGTTGAAGCCTTTTGTGTTCCTCACTGCTTGCCAGAATGCATAAACCCATTGCAGCACAAGGAACCAGATCGACGAGCTGAAATTGTGGAACTTCGTCATGGTCCTTACAAGCCCTGCAAAATGCCCCTTCAGCAACTAGGGATTTTGAGAGTGGGGATTCGTAACATGTTTCCAACCCGTACAAAAAGAACTGATACCAGTATCACTTATAGCATCCAATAGTTCTAGACTTTCACTTTACACCATGGCATGAAGTAAAAGAGTAGTCCTATGCTTTCAAAATAAATTAGAAAAATTGGAAGTTAACAATAAAGGTAAAATTCGAAAATACAAGTAAAAAATAAGTTTGTAACTTATGCTCAATGGAACTTGGAGCAATCTCCTTGATTTGTGTGCGTACCATCCAGGGGTGGTGCTCTTGACCTTGTTTGGCTTGCGCAACTGCAACTTCAAAGGTCTTATGGCAGCAAGATCATGCTGCCCACCATCTCATACCACCAAGAGGATGTTGTGCACAGCCTCTCCAAATAATCTCTCTCCTAGCTTCTCAGCCATGACAAAAATGGCCTCCATCTTTCTCCTACACTCCCCCAAGAAGTTGGTGGGTTATTTCTTGCGCTAGGATTCTTTCCTGGCCACTCCAACTCATTAGAGACCTCTCCCAGCAATTCTACTATACCTGGAATCACTGTGTTTCCACAGTCGATAACGAGCAACTCAATGATTCCCTCACAACACTACAAAGCTGGGCTGAGCTTGGAATTCTCTCCAAATTTCTTCCAACACATACGTCTTCAACTGGATTGAAGTTCTGAAGTCGCAGATGCCCAACGTTGTTTCTCATCTCGCAGGTCTTGCGTTGAGCGCAGCAGCAACGTCGCTGACAATCTCTCCAAAATGTTGACACAGAATCTCTCCAATCTCGTAGCATTTTTTTTCTTGGACACAGCGTTTTTTAGTTCTTATCGTGGTTGAGCAGCACCAACATGTCACTTGTCTTTTTCATGACAAGAAATTAGAACAAATTGAAACACACACAAACCTGACAACATCAAGCTAAGTATGTCAACTTCCAATGATCGTTACTTTTGTTCGTATTCACAAGTTTCCCTTCCCGTTGAAAGTTTCTTGGGCCGTTGTTTTGCGCTTAGTTTGTTTGAGTTGTTTGAGCATATCATCTTAGCTTGACTGTGTCACTGGCTCCTTTTTGCGTTGAGCATACCCCGTCGACAATCTCAATCGAAAAGAAAGAGCGTCTTCAAACGTTGAGAGCTTCAACAAATTCTTGATTGCTTCTAGCCTCTCTTTTATCGTTGATCATTCTAGAGCATATTTCTTGTCTCCAGCAAATCTCTCTTGTTTCGTTGTCTTACTCGCTTAACACAAAGAAAACTGAACGAACTTACCTTGCGAGGTGGAGAGGTGCGAGAGTGGACCGGGCCTGTCAAGGATCAGCGACGGATCATGATCGTTGTTTTCATTGAGGTTGGACCATTGTCATGTACATTTCAACAAACATTTTGGTTAGAACAAACAGCTCACGAACCTGTTAAACTTCGACTTCCATATCGTTGGACAGCCAGTGTTTTCATGATCGTTGTTTTCGTTGAGGTTGGACCATTGTCATGTACGTCTTCAACTGGATTGAAGTTTTGAAGATTGCAGATGCCCGATGTTGTTTCTCAGCTCGCAGGTCTTGCGTTGAGCAGCAGCAACATCGCTGACAATCTCTACAAAATGTTGACATGGAATCTCTCCAATCTCGTAGCATTTTTCTTCTTGGACACAGCGTTTTTTAGTTCTTATCATGGTTCAGCAGCACCAACATGTCACTTGTCTTTTTCATGACAAGAACTTAGAACAAATTGAAACACACACAAACCTGACAACAAGTTTCCCTTCGTGTTGAGAGTTCCTTGGACCGTTGTTTTGCACTTAGCTTGTTTGAGTTGTTTGATCAAGCATATCATATTGTGTGCATTGAGCATAGCATCGAAAAGAAAGAGCGTCTTCAAACGTTGAGAGTTTCAACACGAATTCTTAGCTCGTTGCAAGCAGCTTCGCTTTCTTGTCTCCAGCAAATCTCTCTTGTTACTCTAAACGAACTTACCTTGCGAGGTGGGACTTGATCCGTCGCTGATCCTTGACCGGCCCTGATCGTTGTTTTCATTGAGGTTGGACCATTGTCATGTAGAACTTCAGCTGGATTTAAGTTCTGAAGATCGCAGTTTCCCAACGTTGTTTCTCAGCTCGCGGGTCTTGCGTTGAGCGCAGCAACAACACAACTCAAAGCTCCGAAACGTTGACACAAAATCTCTCCAATCTAGTAGCATTTTTCTTCTTGGCACACACTGTGACATGGGAGTTTTTCAGTTCTTATCGTCGTTGAGCAGCACCAGCATGTCACTTGGCTTCTTCATGACAAGAAATTAGAACAAATCGAAACACACGCGAACCTGGCAACGTCAAACTAAGTATCGTTGATCATTAGTTTTGTTCATATTCAAACAGCTCCCTTCGCGTTGAGAGTTCCTTGGCCCGTTGTCTTGCACTTTGCTTGTTTGAGTTGTTTGTTGTGTCACTGGCTCCCTTTTGCGTTGCAATCGAAAAGAGGTGTCTTCAAGCGTTGAGAGTTTCAACAAGCATACCTCTTAGCTCATTGCAAGCAGCTTCGCTTTCCAAATCTGTCTTACTCCTAACGCAAAGAAAAGCCCTACCTAAACGAACTTACCTTGCGAGGGTGGAGAGAGGCGAAGCAGCCTACCTGGAGCTCCGATCAATGGGCGGAGTGGAAGGGTCGCGAAACCCCAAGACGCGGCATCCATCACTGCCCTAGCCCTTTATCACCGATGAGCCCTAAACTTGAGCTAAGTACTGTTTTATATAGACAGGGCAAAAAGGGGAAGTTCTCAATTAGTGCAAAACGAAGAATCTTACGAGCTACTTAATTATTCGAGGAATCCTGCTGATCGGAGCCTGCTGGTTGGCTCTTCCGTGCTGCTGTTGCCAGCACGGGAAGCTTCTGGATCTCAGCCGGCGATAACATCCGTATGCATCGCACCGTCGTGTTAAACAAACACAACATGAAATGCGTCTCCGACGAGCAGCATGTCGCCTTCATTATCTACGTACACGGCTTGCCACGTTCAGGTTCTCGTCAATGCCGAACAGATGCTGCAGCTCCTCCAGGAGTTGCGTGTTGCATGTATAATCCCCAAAACTTGGACAAGTCCAAAGCTCACCCTGTTTGTGAACTTTTGAAAAGTAGAAGATTCAGAGTCTGGCGCTTCAAATAAAGAATGAGATCTTACTTTGGTGCACGTCCTGCTTGGTTGCTGTTGTTGCTGCTGCTGGTTCCAGTTCTGGCCAGTAAAACACTTCCTGAAGCCGGAAGTTTCCAACTCGAGATCCTTGTGGACGTCGTCTTTGGCGGTGCTGGCCAAAGCTGTCTTTGGTTTCAACGAGACGAGAAACCAAATAGTTTGCACTTGCGGTGAGAATCGTTTGCATTACCTCTCGCAAGGGGCTCCTCACCTCCTGAAAGAACAAAAAAGAGTAGAAAAAAAGCATTACATAAGAAGTGATGACGGATTTCACTTACTGTGAGCCATGAGAAGCTTAAGAAAAGAGTTGTCTGTTGTAGTTGAGGCTGCAAGTAGACTGGGCAACTTAATGCTGCTTGCCAATAAGCGAAGCTGCTGGTTGGAGAAGGCTGCTGCAGTCTCTAGAATTGTGGAGGAACCTTCTGCTCTCGAAACTCGCCAGCAAAGCCGGCGCCACATCCAATCCTCACAACATCTTTCTGCCGCAAAGGATTCTCCCTCTGAAAGAAAAGAGGATCGAACGCACGATTCGAGCTACTTGCTACTCACCAGCGTCACTGTGCTCTCGGACGATGGATCGGCGTGGAGCTCAAACACGCGATCGTTGCCAGTGGCCATCTGCTGCTGGTGCATATCGACTTTATGATGAGATGGTAGCCCCTCGTTTCCGGGACTTGGAAATCCAGAAGGAAAACCAGGAACACTATGACCCTCACTAACTCTTGGAGTTATCTTAGCCTCAGAATAGAGAGCTGTAGGGAAATTTTTCCCTTGGCCTCACATTGGGAGCAATAAATGGCTCTATCTCCTGTCTTTTGCTAGCCGCGTGCTTGTCCCAACCGACCTATATAGAAGACAAGACTCTTTACCTTTAGGAAGCGCCATTTAGAGCCATCGAGCTGCATCGATATCGTCAATTCCAGTAATAGTTCCCATATATCTGACTGTTAGCAAAAGGAGACAAAACAAGAGATTCACTTCATAACGATTTACCATTATTCAATTTCGAGCCATGATAGCTCTCTGCATCCTTTTCTCAAGTGAAGGTGCTACCATGAAGCAGTTGAAGCTGGATTTGGGGTGCCGATTCAAGATGGTTGACATGGGACCTCTTCACTACTGCCTTGGCATTCAGATCTTCCGAGACAGGAGGAAGGGAGTGATTCAGATGTCTCAGAAGAAGTACATTCTGGACGTGCTTCAGAGGTTTCAACTCAGTGAGCTGAACCCAGCAACCACACCTATGGAGGAACATATGAAGCGGATCCCATATAGGCAGATGGTGGGAAGCTTAGTGTACCTGATGGTGTGTACGAGGCCAGACATAGCCTATGCAGTGGGAGCAGTTTCACAGCACTTGGAAAATCCTGGCTACCAGCACTGGTTAGCAGTAAAGCGGATTTTCAGATACTTGAAGGGGACTGCCAACTATGGTCTTGTTTACAAGCAGCAGCCTAGGGGTATTCAGCTCGTTGGATACTCAGATGCTGATTGGGCTGGTGAAGTTGACAAGAGGAAGTCCACTTCAGGCTATATGTTCAGCCTTGGTAGTGGAGCAGTTACTTGGTGCAGTAAAAGGCAGCCAACAATTGCACTATCAAGCACCGAAGCTGAGTACGTGGCCACTACCTTAGCAGCCAAAGAGTGTGTTTGGCTGAGGCAACTATTGAGTGGAGTATATTATCCACAGAAGACTCCAACGATTATCTTCTGTGATAATCAGGGAGCAAATGCCTTGACGAAGAACCCGAAGTATCACGGACGTACCAAGCACATACAGGTACAGTTTCATTTTATTCGTGAGCAGGTTGCCATGGAGACAATGGAGCTAGTGTATTGTGCGACGGGAGATCAGGTGGCAGATGTTTTCACAAAAGCTCTGCCCCTAGCTGCATTCTCCAAGCATGTCCAAGCTCTTGGTGTACAGTTGCTCGAGGCTGATCCCAGCTTAGCTCGAGTGGGAGTGTTGAGGACTTAAGCCGCAATCTCAAGCTGGGATGCCACGTCAGCAGAAGGGACACATCCGTTTAGGTTCTGTAGGTGATCACGCCCGACACATTCTGTTCTTGATCCGTCTTCTGCAATAAAGGTGGACCCAGCATGGAGCACTGCTGCGCTCACAAGGCTGGGTATCCCCATTTCATAACATGGTATCAGAGCCCTGAGGGCTTCAGATCCTGGGACGATGGCGCTGGCCGAGGAGGAGGCCAGTGAGGATGACGATGAGCCCCCGGATGTGGCTGAGAGGTGCCAAGATTTGGCACTGTGCTGTACTGAGTGCCAAGATAACGGCACTAGCGAGCTGAGCAAGGCACTAGGGCATGATCGAGTAGAGACTGACCTGGAGGAGGCGCTGGCAAAGGCGCTGAGAGAGGGCTAGTGCAAGGCACTGGCCGAGCAGAGGTGAGCGCTGGGCACCCTGAAGGGTAGAGGGCCGCTGACAGAGGCGCTGAGAGAGGAGAGACTGCGATTAGAGGCCGTGAACGAGGCGCTAGGGCGTGCGAGGCCCCGCAGAGACTCACCAGAGGTGAGTGCCAGGCGTAGAGGCACGAGGCCCCGAGGGCTGGCCGAGCAGAGACTCCACTCGAGTGCTGAGTGCAGCGCTGGTGTGAGAAGGTGCTGGCAGAGGTGCTGAGAGGAGGCACCGAGCAGAGACAGATTTCTGTTGAGGATACGACAGAGTGCTTGGATGCAGAGGGAGAGTGATCTCAGATTCATGTCATTGAGATCGAGAGGGAGTGCTCTCTATGACATGATCCTAGGTGGCAGGAGTGCCACTTCACTGATCCAGGTGTAGGCTAGAGGTGTGTCTCTTCATCATGTATATATAGCTATGATATATACGATTATCCTGAGAGTCATCCTTGACCATCGTAGCTTCCGCTATTCTTCTCTTCAAACAAGAGATTCACTTCATAACGATTTACCTTCTTTCCGACGAATCCTCAGTCTCAAATCTCATTGAAGTGCATACCAATCAAAATTTTCATCTTGAAAGATTTCACGTACTTGTGGTATGGAACAACAAATTCAGCTGGACTCCCTGAAGAGAAACAAATTCACCACTTTGCCGTGTTAAATCTAAAGAATGTCAAACGAGGATTGTAGAACACGGTGAACATGATCTTAGTGGAGACAACATGAGCAGCAGCAGCCAGGAATCTGATTTGCATACTGTGGCTAGACAGTAGCGAAGACGAAGTGAAACTGCTCTGCGTGCGCACAGCACACCCAATACCGATTCTCAACTCACCATGATCTCCCCTACGTGCTACGTAATATTATTACGGTATGAAAAACAGATCAAAAGGCTTGAAAACTTTATAATGACCAACAGTATCGGCTTCTTCTGGCTTACAAACACACTCCACCCTGTCGTCGAAAGATGCCTTCGTGGTTGTCCTGGATACGAGCAGGATTTTGTAAGAAAGTATCTTAGATTGCTTCCTACAAAAGAGATTGCTCACAGAGAACACTCTTCTTTCCTTGTTCTGAAGACCTGAAGGTCATGGTTGTTCCTGCCCTCCATCACTTTTATTGTCTAAGCCATGATGTTTATGATGCCCACCATCTCCCAAGATCTTGAACTGTTTCTGCCATCTACCTGCTTCGCTGGTGATCTTCCCAAGAAAGATTGCTTCGCTCCTGGATCAACTGTTCTCCAGGACATGTCTACTGAATCCAAATGGATCGGACAGAAAGGACGAGCGAAGAGCGAAAACCTCAGTATAAAGGGGAAGAACTTTCATCATCACCACAAGGTGGATTTTTTGCGAACTTTCTTTAGCTTTTGAATGAGGATTTGTTGCTTCACGGCTCCTGCCTTTCTCGCCTTGACTTCTTCCTGAGAATCGCCGGAGTTAGATTCATATGATCGTGTGGAGATATTTACCTTCAACACGGCCTGGCACTCAGCGATTTTAGAGTAAGCAAGCGCGAGATCGGCCACCTTTCTATGCACCATTCCCTCGTACTGGGCAAGATTTTGCTGGAGAGTTTCGACTTTGCATCGCTCGCTGGTGAGCTCCTTTTGCAGCGCAAGTCCATCAACAGCTGAGAACGAAACTTTCAGCTAAGGGAGAAGAAACAAAATAAATCTAGCAAAGCGATACCTGCACCGTTTTCCAGGTAAACCACGCCTCCAAGAGTTCCATACTCGTGTATACCCCCAACTATAACAAAGCGCTGTCCCATAGAAACCATGGCGTGCATGGACCTCCCATAGATTTCGGTGTCTCTGCCGGAGGAAGAACTTTTCAAGATCTTCCAGCGTTTCCAGAAGGAGGTCTCTGTATCGAAGCTGTAAACGTCGTCAAGGTACGTAACGCCATTGTATCCCCCGTAAAGCACCAGATTCTTCCCAACAGCCGCCATTGCATGGTGTCTCCTTGCTGTGGGAGCCTCTCCAAAGTGCTCCACTTGGTTCCACTCCATCGTCCCCAGATCGAGCGTATAAAAGTCTCCAAAGTTGGTCTTCCCGTCGTAGCCTCCAAAAACGTACATCTTAGTCCCGATTATCACTGCTCCATGCCCCCGACGAGGTGCTGGAGGATCCCGATAGTAGTCCGGCAAGTGCCAATCCATCCACCGCAAGTCTAGCATCCATAGCTCGTTCAAGTGTCCCACGTTTGAGCGGTATCCACCAAAAACAATCATATGGTTGTCGTCACTGCTCACGCAGCTCGTGTGCTGTGACATTGGGCCTGGAACAATTCCCACACTGTACTCTGGCTGTGACAACTCACAGGAATCTACGATACACAAAGTTTGTAAGCAAGAAAAAACTGAAGCTGGTGCTTACTTCCATCTTCCGAAAACTCGAGGATGAATAAGTCCGAAGAATCCTCGGCTCCGTTGAATCCGCCGAAGAATATGATCTTGTTGTTGCGTACGCAGGCTGTGTGATGCTGAACCGATCGGAATGACTCTTCGGCGATATTAAGCTTGAGCTCTGGTATTCTCCACATTGATTCGTCTGGAAGTTATAATTGTCACAGAAACTTGATGTTTGAAGCTCTGGAAGCATACCTACGTGATAGACTAAGATGTCCTTGAGAAGGGACTGCCCATCGTAGCCTCCAGTCACTACCAGGTGAGATGGCAATGGCGAGCGAGACGTCAAGCACAAAGAAACAGCAGTGTGACCAACACGAGGACTTGGGAGAGTTCCACTGGGACTTCTTGAAGCGCTCCAACGTAGATCAGCTGGAAAAGACGACTTAACTTGAAAAACTTGAAAACCATATGCGGCAGCAGCATACCGTTTAAAAAGCCGGAAGTCCATGGAGGTGTTCTGGCCGTAACGATGTCCATACAATGGACCATCGTGGCTTTTTCTTTCTCCAAACTTGTGATCGTCTTTGACATCACGGCTTGAATCATCTGAGCATTTTGAAGGTCTTCCTGAGAAAGTTCTAGCCGAGCTTGCAAGACTCTACCATCTTTCAAAAGTGCCGCTCTCCTGAAAAGTGTCGAAAGAAAATTCACGTAGGCAAGTTATGGAGCGCAAGAACCTGCAATCTGCTACGAAAGATAACCATTGCTGGAAATTATCTTTCAGTTGCCTGATTTGAGATCTGTTTGCTATATTTTGTAGATTTTGCCGACATGCTTTGTGATTCTGTGATGTAAGAAACCACACCTTCAGAATAGCCAATCTGCAAGACATATTCATAAACGACACTCTCAACTGAAAGCCAGAAGATCACCTTATTCTGGATGAATGTCGAGATTTTAAACGCAATAGCAGGCGTCCTCGAGTCCACAGATACTTCAACCAGTCGAAGGCGCGAAGTCTCAACTCTAGCTGCTGCTTCACCACCATCGCCTTTCTCCAGATGCTAACTTCTCTTTTGTTTTTGGCGTGCTGCCTCCACCCAATGAACGTGAAAAGAAGTATCCTTTTCGTCCGGGTGACGATAGCTTTTGTCAAGCGCCTTTGTACCACAGCTCCGACGTGAGCTATTCCCAGCCAGCCTCTAAATGACTTGTGGAGAAGTACTGACATCCTGTGCTGCTCTATCCGCAAGACTTGAGCTCTCTCAAAGACGCTCTCCCCCGCATTCGTACTCCATGTCTCCAGACTTCTCGCCAACAGTCTCAGCTTGGAAAACTCGGTAGCCTCGTAAGCATTTGCACGAGCTGAATCAGCGTCGCTTCTCCAGCTTCGCCACGACTTTTGAAGCCTGTGCTGGACAAAGAATGTTCTGACTCTGCGCTCTAGGCACGATTTCACTGACAGAGTTCCCTTGAACAGCTTCCAGGCTCCAAAAGCCACCCTTGCTATCCGAGACCTCTGAAGTACCATGAAAACCGCAAGCCTGTCGGATGAACACTTCTTCAAATGGACGGTGAGCAGCCAGAACTCGAAAGTTTGCAGCAAGATCGTTCTCGTCCAGTGCTTCCCAGCAATAGCCACAAGCTTCTTGGTGGAGAGAGACTTGGCACGTCTGGAAGCAAGCGAAGAGAACGACTTTCTCAGTATACGACGGTCCCATAATGCTTCAGCCTTCCTAAGAGTCTGCAAAAAGACGATCAATCACCATCGAAAACGTTTTAGACAGTCGACCTTGCCTTGGATTTTCTCGCATGCATGACGAGACGTTGCCAGGAAGATATTACTGCATGAAGCCGCCGAGATTGCGAGATACGCTGCGCTTGCATTACGAGGGATCCTTGCATTGCTCGAACTTGTGCATAGAGCCGCATGCACTCTTTTCCTCGAACAAAACCTTCTTCAACGAGCTCGTTCTCTCGCTCCGTTTCCTCCGCTCTCTTTTCCTTGGACTGTACATAGCTGATCAGAGAACTTGGAGCCAAATTATGTTTGAGAGAAAAAGAGAGAGAAAGGAAAGACGTATTACCTTGAGCAAGTTTTGCAGTTGCCGGTTACGGTGCTCAAGCTCTAGCAAGGCCTCATTCTTTTGCCTTTCCCATCCGGATGGAAAATCCCGAGACAAAATTTTCCCATGCTTCTGCTCCTTAAGATTGTCTGTAGTAGCACTCCGACCCATATTCTTTCGAGACTCCATTTCAAACGCACTGTGAATCGCCTCAAGAATGCTGTGATGCATCTTCTCGACCTGGGAAGACACGCCATCGCCGCCCTCTTACAATACAGAGAAGCGAAAAATCTGAGAGAAGGCCCAAGCCCCAAGCGCCAGACCTTGGTAGCTTCCAACAGCTTGGCTTCCAAGCATTTGTTCTTCCTGTCCAGCTCCAAAATCGCGACATTCTTCTCGCGCTCCCAGTGCGATCCCAAATCCTACACAAAGTAGAGAAAAGCCGTCGCCCAGAGATCGACCGTATAATTTTACCATTCCTCCGCCAAGAAATCGCTTTCAAAAACTTAGGGCTTAACAGCTCCAAATAACATATTCGCAGAATCTAGTTATGAAAAGCTAAAATCTAAAATAAATAACGTGCTGCCGTCTTAGCTCAGCCGGTAGAGCGCGTGGCTTTTAACCACGTGGTCGTGGGTTCGATTCCCACAGACGGCGTAATTAACGCTTAATAACCTGCTTGTTTAGCTTCATTTTCCTCTTTTTTTTTCTTGAATCTAGCTCGCATTATCATTCCTCCAGAAGTTCGTTCGCATCATTCTCTTCAACACGCCTTCTTGTTGGTCTTGTTGCTGAGCCGCTGTGGATGCCTGCTGGATATTCGAGGGGCTGGACGGCTCAGAGCTAACGGCGGGCTTCGATGTCGCGGGGCTGGCCATTGGATCGCCGAAAAAGCTCGTCATTGCCATGGACGACATGTTGAGGTGAGCTCCCATCACCACCTTGGTGATAGCTTCGAACTTCCCACCCGACCTCTCCCGCATTATAACTTCCAGCGCTTCCTTGTGGGCCGGATCAAGCAGCTCGGGATCACGCAGCAAGTTCTGGATTGTTGGCAGCAGTAGCTCCCGAATGCTGGTAGGAGATAAATCTGTTCCACAAGTTTCGCCTCTGTTGGAGCTTGAGATAAGCAAGACGGCATTACCTGTGGCATCCAGAGACCGGATGGCCTCGCAAAACACGTCCGCTCTCTCACGTCGGCGTGCTACATTTGTTCCCATGGGGCTTGCCGTAAGAACCACCAGCTTTTGCAGCAAATGTACGGAAGCGTTCGTCAAGAAAAACTCGCAAGCGACGATGGTGTAGTCACAAATAAAAAAGGATATAGTCCCTCAAAACAGGGGAAGCCAGTGGCACCGCGACTGTCAATGCACGAACCACTCCAGATATGGCTTCGTTGGATCCATCGTCTAAAAAAGCATCCATTTGCACGCGGATCTTCTCACTAACCTGCGAATAAAGCCAGAAATATCAGATTTTGGATCAATACATTTATAAGTACCATTTCATCTTGGAAATGCTGAGCAATGATTCCATATGCAGGTATTGTTGTGTGCCTGACTTCAAGGTTCGTGTCCGAGCCAAGAGTGACTAATGCAGGTAACAACTGCTTTGAAACTAGTTGAGTGCTTGCATAGGGAACCTGAACAGGATGTTAACGCTTGTAAAATGTATGACGATAACAGACCATTTCCCTGAGAAGAAGAGCTGCATGAACTTTGACGCTGACATTTGAGTTCACAACAAGCTCCCAAAGAACACCGGTCATAACCTCGTGATGGCGATCATAAGAACTTTAAGATCCAGCATAGTTAGTGCTTTTCTCGGGGCATACGTAACCTTACCAAAAGAATCGGATGGTTTCTACAAGTTCGGGAGTGCGAACGCAGCTCCACGACCCGTGCTTTAGCGAAGAATCCAGTATCAAGTTCTTTATAAACCCTTGCAAATCAAAGTCGTGCGCATTTGGTATCCCCAAAACTCCAACCAAGAGAAGAGGTAGGATGCACTTGAAGGCCAAAGTTTGAGCTGTTTCCGTTTGAGGCTTTAGCCCTGCGTAAAGCAATATAGACATCATGCACAAACTGCTAAACAGGTTCCTCACCTTCGATTCTGTTTGAAATGCTTGATCCAAGAAAATGCAACAACGAGTCATCACCAACTGCTGTTAGAAATATCGGTCGCAGAACCATGGTATGAAAGTGGCTGCCGAAACAATCGTTGAAGCGTAAAAGAAGCTGTTAAGGAATTCACAAAGAAGTGAGCATCTAAAGAACCAAGAGTCGGTCACCTGACATATGATTTTTCGTAAAGCCTCCTCTTTAGGAGAAATCATAGAAAGAAGCTTCAACAGTATGGGGAAAAAGTCCATGGCTAGCCAGTCAAAATACTCCCATCGCGTACTCGATCTGCATAAGAAGTTGAATTAGCGCCTTACTGCATTGGAATTTGTGTCCCTTACTGTAAGTGTTGCGTCAAGTTTTCAGGAGAAAATGCCAGTGTTTGATCAGATTCACTGATAGGAAATGGACAGCTATGGACGCATGCATAACGCAAATCAGGAACAAGTTGTATCAACATGCGCAGCAATACTTCAACATTCCATCCTTCCCTTTCGCGTAAAATTCGCAGCTGAGAATCAGATGACGTCTCGACGCCTGACACAGGAGGGCAGCGCTGCAACAATGCACAAAAAACTTAAGTCGCGGAGAATACAATGTGTATTACCTGAACAATAGTTAGCATACGACCAAAAAGAGCCTGAACCAGCTGTTTCATTGAATATCTCAGACATCTGGTCCACGTCACAACCGCTGGTACAAGCGCCTTCAGTGTCGTTTCGACAACTTGGGCCGAGGAATCCGAAAGCAGATGAAACATCATCTTCTCGACCTGGCAAAAACGAATACTTTAGCAACACCCCCAAGCAAGATACAACTAACGCTTACTTCAAGAAACTGAGACGACAAGACTGCTCCATGACATCGAGCTGACCTTGGTATATTTGTCCGTGTTGGGAAATAGTGGCAGTAGCTTTGCCAAATTCGTTGAAGCCGCCTCTCTCACAACAGGTGCTGGGTCCTCAATTAGTTGCTCTAGGATTGAAAGGATCAACGATGAGCGCATATCGGACCTGACAAATCCTCCTAGTTCTCCACAGGACTGTGCCACGAGCAACCGTCGCTCTTCGTAGTTGTGGTTAATCTGCATAACCTTGATTAGCAGCGCGCTTGAACAAATAACGTTCACACCTGTTCCCAGCATTGAGGAAGCAGCTCATTTTCCGTACGAATGTCCCCGATAGATGTTGATAAGGAAATACACGCCTGGAAACAGAGTAGTCAGAACTCCCAAAATGAGGTGTTAGCTTACATCCATGATGATCCTTCTTTGATTTTCATCCGGTCGTTTTATCAGGTTGAACAGTATGTGAGTAAGAGAGTCTCGGACATTGCCATCGGGATGTCGTCCAATCGCGCATATCATAAGAGGTAAGAGTTCCTTACAATGCCAGCAAAACGTTTCACGCTAGTCTTTGATAAAACTTCCAGTAATACCTCACGGTGATTGATGAGTACGTAAGGCACGATGTTCGGAAGAGCTTCCGCCAGTATGTGAATAGTTTCCGGATCCTAAAACATCGTCTGTAAGATCAGTATGCCAATATCGAGGCTTACCTCTTCGCGCTTGACTGAAGATGGTTCTTCCGGTACACTAACTTGCGGCTGAGAAACCTCTGGCGATTCTCTATCTGACGGATTCCCGTGAAGTTCTTGATGTTCATGGGACTCTTCGGACTGCTCCACTGTTTCCCTTGATTTCAATGCTTCCTCAGTCTCCACCGTACTGATCACCTTCTCGTTATCTAAATCCGCTTCCAATGATTGGTATCTTTCTTGCAGCGAATTTAACGAAACAATCTCCGCTCTACTTGCATCCAACTCTTCCGAGACTTGCTTTAGCGCTTCCCTCAGCTCGTGAACCTTTACACCATAAAGTCAGTTTACAAGCAAACACAATTGAACACAAATACCGTTGTAGCGCTGCGAGTAGCTTCTGCCTCCGCATTCTTAAGTGATTCTTTCAACAAATCTTTTTCCTTCTCATAACTATCCCTCATTTCAGCAAGCTCATCACATTGTGCAGAAGAAGGCTCCTGAATTAATAATCATGAGTCAAAGAGAACAAAAGAGCACAGCAACAACAAAAGTATTCTACCTCAGATGGAACAGTCTCATGCTCACTCGTATGATACGCACGGTAGTACTTTTGCAATGCATTTGGAACCCGGCCAGAGTCGTCGAGAACTTGGTCGTCAGCCTGTTTCATGATACTTGAGCATACACCAATTTAAACTCGATAAGCGTACCTCTTCACAAAAAGTCATAGCAGTCAATTTATAGCCCGCTGACACGAGATAATCCTTCACAGCACCGTTCAAGTCCTTCCTTTCGTGCAATCCTATTTGATCCTGTGTACGAGAACTTATCGCTTGTGGAAGCTGATCGGAGTTGCTTTGATCTGGAATATATACCCTTTAGGAGAAAGGGGGAAAATGTACGAGAAATAACCTTGAGAAGGATCTTGTGATCGCGCCTCCAGCTTCATCTGGAGCGTCTTCACATCCTCTTGAGCGAGGCGGAGCTCGTATTCCAAGACCGCAACTCTCTCCAGAGCGGCGGCTTTCTCTTCCATAATCTTCTTCGAATCCGTCTCTGAGACACAAGAGAGGTTTGAGCACGGCGAATGCAAGCTACCAGGACCCCTTACCCTGCAAATTCTGGACATGGAGCAGCTGATCCGATGGAAATACTGCCGGATCTGCGAAGAACTGGCTCAATTTGCTCACCGCCTCGGAATCCTCCATTCCATTCTCGATGAGCTCGTGCAGGAGCTCAAAAGCCGAGAGGAGGTAGCGCTCCCGCAGGAGAAAATCCACGACGCCATCCACGATCTCCATAGCCAGCGCTTCCAAAGCCCTACCGCCAATGCAACTGGTCACGAGTTCGATTCCTTAGAACCAAGCTTACTTCCTATCAACGCATTTTCTTCACAGCTCGTTGCGAGCAATACAAACGCGGCCGAATCTCTTCCATGCAAGCCGAGAATATGCCTCGTGCCAAAGGCCCCGTTCTCTATATCGTTGTGGCTCTTACAAGCCGAGAGGAAGCTCGTCCAATCCACCGCGTCTGGAACAAAAGGCATATTCACGAGGAGGTCCCGTGCGCTGTCCAGGTATCTTGCCCGTCCCAGCAAGCCCAGCATGCAGCCGTACAGTTGCTTGGTAGCTTGTACGGAGTAATCCACAGTCATTGATAGAAAGCACGGCCTCCCATTGGCCACGTCTCCCTTGTGAATGTAGGCGACTAGCAGTGACGTGAAACTGGCTTCGTCGGGCATAAACACTGTCTTGATTTCATCAAACACTTCTCTGGCTTCAAGCGCGTGCCCATTTTGGGCATATGCTGCGAGCATCGAGTTCCTTGATACAAGGTTTGCGTCTGGCATGGTATCTAGCAATTTTCTTGCTTCATGGATGCAGCTATTCTTTGCAAATGCGGCCAACATGATGCTCCAAGAGAAAATATCCTTCACTAAGATCGAATCGAACATTCTTTTGACTTCATACCAGTAGCCGTACGTGGTGTATCCCACAAGTACAGCATTCTCGGCAGCAGAGCATGGAACAGGAAGCATGGAAAGAAGATTCTTAGCTTCTTCGGTATATCCATGTTGAGCATACCCAGCTATAAGCCCAGACCACGCCACCGCATCGTGACATGGCATCGCATCAAACAGATGCCTTGCAGCTTCAAGATGCCCGGATTGAGAATATGCCGTTATCATTGACGTATAGCAGACGTGGTTCTTCTCCAACAAACTATCAAACATGGCCTTTGCTTTTGTCGTCGCGCCGCATTGGCCGTATGCAGCTATCATACAAGTCCACGAGAAAATATTCCACTGTGGCATCTCGTCAAACATCGCTCTCGCAAGATCAAGATGCCCGTTCTGGGCATATCCCGCCAGCATAGAGCTGTAAGATACGAGATTCTGCTGTGGCATGGAATCAAAGACTTGTTTGGCCTGGTCAATGAGGCCATTCTGGACGTATGCGCAAAGTATGGAGCTCCACGACACAAGGTCGTGCTCTGGCATGAAATTAAACACCTGCTTTGCCTCACTCACGTATCCCGTGAACGAATATGCTGCCAACATGGCATTCCAACACACAAGATTCCTCTGTTCCATGCTATCAAAGATTTTCTTGGATTTCTCAACGTTCCCGGTGTGGGAATACGCAGTTAGTAAGGACGTCCATGCAAAAACGTTCCACTCGGGCATCTCGTCAAAGATCCTCTTGGCATCTAAAACATATCCCGCTTGGGCGTATGAATCGAGCATGGACGACCAGCAAATCAAATCCCGTTGCGGAATATTCACAAAAATTTGCTTAGAGTACTCGAGATGCCCGCTTAAGGCATATGCGATTATCATAGAAGACCAAGAAACAAGAGTTTTTACTGGAAGTATGCGAAATAATTCTTTTGCCTCTTGCAAGAACCCATGCTTTGCATATCCCGAAATTACAGTGTTCCAGGAATGTGCATTAACAACCGGCAAAGAGTGGAGTAAATCTCTTGCCTTGTCCATATGCCCGGATCGGGCATATTCTTTAAGGATCACATTCCACGCCACTACATTATTCTCAGGCATGCTTTCCAGGAGGAGCTCCGCATCTGTGAGATGCCCGTTCCGAGTATATGCCGCCGCCATGAGCGCCCAAGAGAAGGAATCTTTGCAGACATTGGCATCAAAAACTCGTCTCGCCCCTTCCACGCTGCCACACTTGCCGTACTTCTCTATTAGCTGGTTACAAAGAAAAGTGTCATTGCTAAGAAAGGGCTTTACGCGTTGGTAAAGATCGTTTAATTCGCGAATTGTCAGGGAGCTACTGAGCAAATCTATTCTAGCTCTCTTTCCGGACAATGGCATTGGTTTTCAAATTTTAGGGCTCCTCGCTAACTTATACCGTACTAGGTCAAAATGCCTGGGCAGGCGATTCCTCCTCCGTGCTCCTTTCTCCAAGTCGGCCAGGTAAGCTCCTCCTGCTGCTAGAGCGATCTGATCGCCGCCTTGATCGCGCAGGCATTCACAGGGATCCAGAATGTGTCGAATTCGCAGAAGGAGGAAGCTTGGAAGGTCAATGTCCGCTTGCAAGGCTGCGATATCCAGCACGGCTACCTCTGCGGTAGCATGGAGGCTCTCAATGTTCCATCCGCAGAAACTCCAGTGAGTTCCAGCTTTGGGAAACTTTTTTCTTTCTTATGCTTATACTGATCCTCGCTCGCTGTTAAGGTTGTAACGTTTTGGGAGGGCCAAATTGTAGACAATCGAAACTACACTTTCTTCACTGGCCAGTGGGACGCAAGGTAAGTGGTTTCGGAGAGTAAGTCACAGTAATCGATCGATCTTGTTTCGTTGTTTTTCCAGTCCAGACACGGATGTCAAGCACTGGTCGAAGTTTTCATCCTTTTTACCACTCTCGGTTCGTTGTTCTTCGTACTTACACGCATTCTTTCTTCCTAACGCTCTTTAGAACAGGATACCGTGGAAAGAGACGGAGGCAGATCTCTTGATCTCGCAACTTACCCATCCATTTTCATGGCAAGTACCCCATTTCCCTTGTGAAAATGAGTTCTGGGCTTGAAGTTTCTCATGGACTTCACAGAGGTGGAAAGAAAAGTTCTTCGTCAATGTTGGTGCCGACTGCGGCTTGACAATAGCCGGCTTTTACTACGTTTGCTTCTCCCGCAACAATGGCGCCGTCCAAGGCTTCTACTACGATCCAAACAGCAGGTTTCTATCCAGTGTTTTAGCTCTTTCGATCTGTCCTAACTCGATCGATCCATTGCAGTCCTTTCCAAAAGCTCGATCTCAAGGCAACGAACGAGGGCCGGGCCGGAGCAAGCTTCGCGAGTTATCAGTTCCAGTGAAACGAAGCTTGCAAATCATCCATCGGTGTTATAAGTATGCATGTAAAGGTAGCCATCTCTCTCACAAACGAAACAAAAATAACTTGTATGGTTTCTTTGATGACAAAAAGTGTGTGTAGTGTCACAGCCCAGGGAGGGACGGACGAATGACATCACGCGTAAGATCCAAGGCATCTTTTAGTGGACAAGGAGATCATGTAACCATGTTAATGACGCGAGGCGGTACGGCCCAAGCCTAGCCGTTCCTAAGCGCTCCCATGCAAATCCGCTAGGGGAAAAAGGCAGTAATGGCTGGGTGCCAGCAAACAGCTGGCGTGATGATCTGCGTTGATTTACCCGCGTGGTACGGACGCTGCCCCTCCGGTGACGTGGCGCGATCCTGGCCGTGGCGCGCGTGTAACCACAGGTAGCGTGGTAGATCTGTAACAGCTGGACGCTTTAACGGCTGAGATGATGCTCTCTTGGTGTTCCAAAACCCATCGTGTCTTTCTCATACCAAGAGAACGCGACGGAGGGCAAGATATTATGCTTCCTTGCTGCTCAAGGCGCGCCGCGAGCTCGATCGATCGATCGATGTGGCAATGAGGACGATTCATCTGCATTTTCTTTGCGCCGTGGCCGCGATCTTGGCGATTCACAATGCGCGATCGATAGGCGCCGCGGCTTCGGTGGATCATCCTCCAGCGCCATCCTCCGGCGCAGGTAATGTGGCTTCGAAGTCTGTTCTTGCGGCGCTCCTGGAATCGCCGGCCACGGAGATGATGGAGCTCGTGGAGCAGGCAGGGATGCTGGAGGCGCTGGAATTGGCCGCGGATCGCCATAATCTCACGATCTTTGCGCCCAGGGACGAGTTCTTGGAGCTCCATTTCGATGCCGACTTCCGGAGGTTCCTCTTGCTGCCAGGAAACGTGAGATTTCTCCAGGAGCTCGTCATGTTCCACGTCTTGCCGATCAGGATCACGGCGTCGCAGTGGCGCAGCGGCAGATTCCAGAGCCTGTCTGGCAGCCGGGACGAGGTCCTGTTGCATTGGGACAAGAAGCAGCGCCTGGCGGTGGATCGCTCGACGGTGGACTGGCCGGACATGATCGTGAGGAGCGACGGCGTGGTGCACAGAATCGACGGATTGCTCGTCCCCAAATCGGTCCAGGACGCCTACTCGGCAGCAAGAATCTCCTCCTCGGCGGTTCTTCCCCAAGCCGCTCCATCTCTTTCCGGGGAATCTTTCGGCACCAAGGCGGAGGCGAAGCTCTTCCATGTCACATTCCCAGTGATCGACGATCTCATCGGCTCGGCTCCGGCGCCAGCGCCATCGCCCTCAAGATTCTCCGCCGACGGCCATGGCAGAGTCCAGGATTTCATCGCGGCGCTGGTGTCCTTCGGCGGCTACGGCGAGATCGCAGACCTCCTCGTCAATCTCACCTCCCTGTCCGTGGAAATCGCTAACCTCGTCAACGAAGGGCACGCGCTCACGGTCCTGGCGCCGGGCGATCGCGCCGTCGCGCGCCTGGCAGCGGAGCACCTGGGGGCGATCGAATCCATCCTCGCCTATCACATCGTCGCCGAGTACCAGACCGAGGAGAGCCTCTACACCCTCGCCAAGCGGCACGACAGGGTGGTGCTCAGCACGCTCCACGAGCCTCCATTCAACCGGCTGGTGGCGAGGGAGATCGATGGCACGGTGGAGTTTGGCAGTGGCAACGATCTCGCCTCCTCCTCCAATTCCTCGCGCTCGAGCACCGGGCTTTTGATGGATCCCAACATCTACACAGACGGGCGGATCTCCGTGCAAGGCATCAACGCTGTGTTGATTCCACCTCGAGGCCGAGATGCTTCCAACGAGGAGAGCTCCCCGCCCACTCCTTCGCCGCTGGCGGGCTTTAAAGACAACAAGCCACCACGCAAGCTGTTCCAAATGTTCTTTCGCGGGATTTAAGTCGTCGCAGCAGCGCTCCACTCTCAACTTTGAATGCATCGCAGCAGCTGGGTTGACAAAAGTACAAAGGATCGTCGTCACTCACTAGTTCTTCCTCGCGAACGATCGTTTTCGTCCCTTCTCTCTCTCTCTCTTCTAACCATTTTGTATGTCTCTCTTTGGTGGCGCAGCTCTTTCATTGCTCGAAATTACACAAATGTTGCTTCCACTGTTGGTGGTAAAAAACAAAATTGCAATGGAAATTCGAAAAGAAAAAACATGCCACTAGTATTAACCACCCAGATGCATCTATGGCGTGACATCATCAGGGTCAGGGTCAGTAGTTTACAAGATTCCATAAGCATTTAAATCCATTTAAATCCATCCAGGTACAATCCGCTTTTCCTCACTGCTTTGAATTACTTTTACTTCTTTACAATATGCCATGATCTTCACAACATGTGTTGCAACCAAAAATCAGTGGGCATTGTCTGTGCTGTACACCGCCACAAAAAAGGTTGACATTAACAAATCCACCCATCTTAGAAAAAAAAATTGTAAGAGGAGAATGTCAGGAGCTACTTTTAGATGAATAGATCTCTGCCAGGAGCACATAGTTGGATGATTCCTGGGGACAGGCCCCTAAAGCGGATCTCGCGGCATCCTCCCCTCTTCCAGCGTCATCCTGGACTTTACACCCGCCCAAGAGTGTCTTCCACGCCAAGGCATCACACTCAAACGGCATCGTTCGTATGAGCTCCCTGGCCATCTCCAGATCCCCGGCCCTGCTCAGCAGATCAATCATACAGTGGTAATGGTCGCGGATTGGATCAATCCCGTAGTCGCCCATCATCTGGAAGTACCGCCACCCCCTCTCGAGAAGACCCGAGTGGCTGCACACAGACAGCACGCTCATGAACGTCACCGCGTCGGGTTCGAGTCCCAGCAGCCCAATGTAGCGCGCGAGCTCCAGCGCAAAACTGCCATGCCCCTTGTGGGCATATGCTGCGACGAGAGCGTTCCACGACACAATATTCCTCTCGGGCATTCTGTCGAAGACCCGGCTTGCGTCGCGCAACAGGCCGCTTGCTCCGTACGCCGCCACGAGGGCGTTCCACGACACGGTAGTACGGTGGGATATGCCGTCAAACGATGCCTTTGACTGGGGGATATGCCCGTGTTGGGCATAGAGCGTCACCATGAGGCTGGCGAGGATGGAGTCGTGCTCGGGCAGCCGGTGCGCGAAAATGGCGTGGGCCTCTTCGAAGTGGCCGCGGTGGGCGTAGGCGGCGATGAGAGCCGTCCAGGGCTTGAGCTCCACCCATGGCACCGAGAATTCGAGCAGCACTCGCGCGGGTTCCAGCTCGCCATTCTCCGCAAGGCCTGTGATCAGCGCATTCCACGATCCGGCGTTGCGTTCTTGCAATCCATCGAAGATCACACGAGCCTGGGCGATCTCGCCGCGCTCCAGCAATGCGGCGATCATCGTGTTGCCCGCGACGGCGTCGAATCGCGGGAGGTTGTGGTAGATCTTCTTCGCCTCGTCGAGATGCCCGTGTTGGGCATAGGCCTGGAGTATCGTCGTCCACGACACGGCGTTCCTCGCGGGCATGGCCTGGAAGAGGTGCGTTGCCCGGTGGAGATCTCCGGCGGCGGAGTGCGCCGCCACCATCACCGTCCACGACACGATGTTCCTCTGTGGCATCCGATCGAAGAGCTGCTGCGCCTCCTCCAGCTGCCCATTTGCCGCGCACCCCTGGATCATCGCGTTCCAGGTCACGATGCTCCTTCTGGTCGATCGATCGAAGAGGGCCCTGGCCTGGCGGAGGTAGCCGAGGTCGCCATAGGCGGCGATGAGGGCGCTGCTATCAATCCCTCCCGCGCTCGCGCTCGCCGCATCAAACAGCGCCTTGGCGGCCTCGATCTCCCCCTTCTCGGCGACACTGGAGAGAATGCTGCTCCAGGAGATGGAATCCCTCTCGGGCATGGCGTCGAATGTGATCTTCGCCTCGCAGAGATGGTGCCCCGACTGGGCGTACGCCGTGAGCATCGAGTTCCAGGACACGAGATCCCTGAGCGGCATCGCAACGAAGATCGCATTGGCAGCCTCTGGCGATTCGTGTGAGCGCGCCGTGATCATGACATTCCAGGAGACGATATCACGCTGGGGAAGAGCGCTAAAAATCCTCTTCGATTCCTCCAGATGCCCTTCCTCGGCATATGCTTGAAGCATAGAGTTCCATGATACCAGATTCCACTCCGGCATCGTGTTGAATATTCTCGCCGCGTTCCATATGTTTCCGTTGTGTGTGTACGCCTGTATCATAGCCGTCCACGTCACCACGTTGCGTTCCGGCATGGATGTGAAGAGATCTTCACACTTCTCCATTTCCCCAAGCTGGGCATATACCGGAATCATGCACGTCCACGACACTACGTTACGATCTGGCATGGAATGAAAAAGATTCCTTGATTCGTCAAATCTTCCAACCTCAATGTAGGCTTGGATCATTGTATTCCATGTCACAACTCCTCTCGCAATCCCTCGATCTTCCATATCGGCAAACATTTTCCTCGCTAGATCAAGTTGCCCGTTCGCGGCATATGCGGTGATCATGGAATTCCACGAGACGAGGTTCTTCTCCGGCATTCGATCGAACAGATGCTTCGCCTGGTTGAGAATGCCGATCTGTGCGTAGGCCGTGACCATCACGGTCCATGAGACTACATCGGCGCGGCGATTGGATTCCATCTCATGGAAGAGCTGCCTCGCGCAATCGATCCGCCCATTGTGCACGTAGGCCTGGAGCATGAGATTCCACGAGTAGCGATTTCGATCCGGGATGGCATCGAAGACCCTCCGCGCGCTGTCGATGCTGCCGCACTTGCCATACATCCGGATGAGGAGATTGTGGAGGAATTTATCGCGGCTGTGGAGCGCGCTGCTGGCAATGAAAGAGTGTAAATTCCTGCCGCGGGAGAGATCCCTTGCGCTGGCGCACTGCTTCAGGGCATCGGCGAGCTCCTCGACGGTGCTGGGATTCATGCGCGGCGTTGGCGGGAAGAAGAAGCATATTCCCTTGAAACATTCTCTTTTGTTTAAGCTGGAATCGAACCCTGTCCGAGTTCTAGGGTTCTTGTAGAGCTTAGGGTTTAGGGGCGGCGCGGCGGAGGCACGGCACGATGGTGAAGTTTCTCAAGGCGAACAAGGTCGTGGTGATGCTCCAGGGCCGCTACGCCGGGCGCAAGGCGGTCATAGTGAAGAACTTCGACGAGGGCGGCGCTCGCCCCTATGGCCACGCATTGGTCGCCGGGATCTCGAAGTACCCGAGAAAGGTATGCGCTTGGAGCTGCGGCATTTCCAATCTGGAGGGCATTTTCTTCAATCTGGATTCTCGCAGGTGATCAGGAAATTGTCGCAGAAGAAGATCGCCAAGAGGTGCCGATTGAAACCCTTTGTCAAGCTCGTGAACTACAACCACATGATGCCGACGAGGTGAGAGCTCGACTTTGTTTTTCTTTGTGGTTCTTGTTCTAAATTTCTTTGTTTCATTTAGGTACACCCTCGATGTGGATCTCAAGAACGTTGTCACGTCCGAGAAGCTTGACACCGATGCCAAGAAGAAGGCCACTCGCAAGGTAAATCTCTCTCCCTTTTCTCGCTTTCTCTGTGGCTAACTCTCGGGCTGGAAACAAACAGGAAGTCAAGGAGCTTTTCGAGGAGAGATTCAAAACCGGCAAGAACAAATGGTTCTTCACAAAGCTCCGGTTCTAGACCCTGTTCTTCTTTCGCAGCTGAGACTAATGGTAAACTACGACGCCTTTCTTCTTTTCGGAGGTTTTCCTTTGAATTTTGCAATCAAAATTACAAGCAAGAGATACATTCGCTAAGGATAATCGAATGTCAGCGGCGAATGGTTGCAAATCGTATAGTTGGGATCGAAAAAGTTTGGCTTGGTTGGTGCGAGGCGATCCATGAGCTCCATCAACTCGGGAGGCCGGCCCACAAGCGAGGCATAGTGCATGGCAAGCGAGTATCGTCCCTCCATGGTGTAGTATATCGCGTGTCTACTCATCTCGTCCCTCCATAACTTCTGAGGATCATTTTCAAACTCGTGCCCGGGCTTTCAGGGGACGGGGCAGTGAAAAGCGGGTTTAAACGCCGCTCTCCTCTGACCGTGATCTTCCAGTGCCGCACAAATCTGGGGAGGAGGAAGCTGCTCTTGAGTTTGCGTTTGGTCAAAATCGTCGGGAAGCTCCTCGATGACAACCATCGCTCAAAGATTGAAGAGAGCTCCCATGGTTTTAGAGAGAAAAAGGTGGCGGGAGAAAAGGGTAAGGGTAAAAGGGACCATTGTCTCGTACGGACGGAGGAATGCTAGCTCAACACTGACACAATTCACATGCGAGGAGCACTCACGCTGGCTGCCAAACTATTCCAGCTACAGGCGGAAGATCAAACAGTTCTTGGTGCCTTGCTGATTGATTGATTGATCCAGGGGCGAAAACGACGTTAATATCTATGGGCATGAGCTCAAGTAGCACTAAGAAAACATTTGGATCGCGGAAGCGAAAGAACAAAGCAAAAGGGACGGGAATAAAGAGAGTGGTCCCGGGATCTATCACTGCTGACGATGTTGCTCGCCCGGAAATTCATATAAAACTACGAGATGGAGTACGAGCTTTGAATTGGAGCAAGCCCACCATGGAAGTTTCAGCGGGTTTTGATTAGAACGAGCGATAAGAGTGGAGCTCCAATAGATTTCTATCTTGGAGGATATTTATTATTCTTTTCCCGGGAGTTGCATGAGCGGCGAGATTGCTGCTAGGTGGAGTGACAGTTGCGACTTAGATTGTTTCCATTTGGAGGCTGGCAAGCTAAAAAAGAGATTTTTCTCTCTTGTTCTTCAAGACCAAATTGGACGATTATGTCCGATAAAAACGAATCTCACCCTCGTCCTCGGGATAAGAGCCGAGAAATTCTTCGATCGCCTGATCTTCTTGCGTGGCTGGTTAAAACGCACGTGTGAATCTTGGAGCGTGAGCATGAGCTCCTGGGTTTCGTGTTCGTGTCGAGTGTTCCTGGTGAAACATCTCAGGGAATCTTCCAGATCGTGGTGGCCTGCTGCCGCTGCGGTTGGAGGGCGATTGTGATTGATGCTTGGATGGATGGATGGATGGATGCATGATCTCCGGATCCAACTGAATTGGAATTGAGGCAGCGCCTGCTTGAACGAGAGGCAGAGCTCCCGAGTTTCTAGGCGTGACTCCAGAGTGGAAGCTGGAGTGTTTGCATCCAAGCGGGTTTTGAGGAGTTGTTATTGGATCAGTGTTCTTGCTGAGATGGGCTCTTTCATCAACCATCCCTGGCCTGGGTGAAGTGATGTGAAGGTGACAACTCTCGGAGATTGTTAAAGCTTCTTCGTTTTTTTTTCTTCTCCTCTGTTTGCTTTCTTTTTGGAAGTAGCAAGCAGCTCCTTTTTGACTATATAATCTTCTTCTCTCTCTCTCTCTCTCTCTCTCTCTCTCTCTCTCTCTCTGGACTTCTTTCCAGTCTTCTTCTTCCTTTGGAGAGGATCCATGGAGATTGAATCGGCTGGACAGCCTAGGCAGACGCTTAAGCAGATGCTGCTGGACGCCAGCAATTTCTCGTCCCCTCGCGCGGTGCTCGACGCCCCTTTCGACCACAATTGCAGCAGCGGCAGCGAATCCTACTACGCCTACGCCGACACAATGAGCATCCGCACAGGCTTCCTCCATGATCACCATCGACACCACCACCACCACCACCACCACCACCACTTCCATGATCTTCTCGACGAGCGCCTGAATTCCCACTCAAACACATCGCCCTCGAGCAGCGGCAGCGAGGACAGCAATCACAGCGCCCGCTGCTTCACCGTGTTCCGCCGGCTGGGCACATTTCCCAGCGATCGACGGAGCTCCCGCAAGCTCCGCACGTCGAGCTTCAAGCTCATGAGCAAAGTCGCGCCGCTGGCGGTCGAATCCAAGAAGCTAAAAGGGGCCAAATGGAAGCAATTCCGATACGGCGAGATCGAGTCCGCGACAGGCTGCTTCAATCCAGGTAAAAGATCACGAAAAATCCAAGAAAAAGTTCTCTCTTGTTTCTCTCCTGTTCTTGACTGTTCTTTGGAAGTCTTTGATTGATCGTGGCTAATTGCAGAGAATTTGATCGGCAAAGGTGGCTACGCGGATGTTTACAAGGGATGCCTGCCAAGTGGCGAGCTGGTGGCCGTCAAGCGCCTCACAAGGGGCGGGAAAGAGGAGCAGGGCACGAGTTTTCTCACGGAGCTGGGCGTCTTGGGCCATGTTTCTCACCCAAACGCCACGCCCTTGCTAGGGTTTTGCGTCGATGGCGGCCTCTTCCTCGTGTTCCACTTCTTCCCCCATGGAAGCCTCGCCGCAATGCTGCACGGTAAGCGCCTCTCTTCCGGCTATGGCCGATCGATCCATCCATTTCTTGTTTGATTCTTGCTGTTCTTGGTCCTTGATCGATTAGATTTTCCTTGCTTGCGCGCATTGTCGATCGATCGATTGATCCTTGATTCTTGACTCCTTCGTTTGTGTTTGTTATGGATGGAGCTGGTCTGGTTGGTTCTTGGATTTATCAATTCTTCTTCTCCGTTGGCAGCGTTGGACTTTTGTGGATCCAACTGGAATCAAGGTGGAACTTATCTTTGATCTTTAAATCTTTTCAAGGTTCTCGGCTCATGGAGTGGCCCGCACGCTTTAAGGCCGCGATCGGGACAGCCAGAGGTCTTCACTACTTGCACTCGAATTGTCGGCGCAGGATCATCCATCGGGATATCAAGTCATCCAACATTTTGCTCGGGTCAGACTTTGAGCCGCAGGTACTTCACAATTCACTCTGTTCTTTTGTTCTCTTTTTCTCTTCTCTTCGTCTGTAGTTGACCTCCTTTTCTTTAATCGATCTAGATAACTGATTTTGGCCTGGCGAAATGGCTGCCATCGGAATGGACTCACCATACGGTTCCAGTGGAAGGGACTTTCGGGTAAAGAGATTCTCCTTCTTTCTCCGTAAGAATGAATGAGCAGCAGGAGTTTCTTCTTTTCTCTTCTTGTAGATATCTCGCTCCGGAGTACTTCTTGCACGGCATTGTCGACGAAAAGACGGACGTGTTCGCGTTTGGAGTGCTGCTCTTGGAGCTCGTCACCGGTCTAAGACCCATTGATAGCACTCAGAAAAGCCTAGTCATGAAGGTATGCCTTTGAAGTTCCGTCCATTCGGTATTGGTGTGGTCAAGTCTGGCGAGAAAAGTTTTGGATGAATGAATGACAATTCACGCAGGTGAGACCGCTGCTTGAATCAGCTAACATTCAACAGCTCGTGGACGGTCGCCTCAAAGGTGCCTACAACTTAAGCGAGGTGCAAAAGACCATTCTTGCGGCACGGCTTTGCATACGACAGTCTGCGATAGCACGTCCGTGCATGGCAGACGTAAGCTCTTATACATTATCTCCCGGTTTTGACTTGTCCATCCTTAAAATACTTTACTTGATTTCTTTCTCCAGGTCGTGAAGCTTTTGGTCGAAGGAAGGCCAGACCTCAATCTCTCGACTCAATCCCACTCTCTGTGGGACAAATTCGACGCGGACGACGAGTTCGCGTTAAGTTTCCAGGGCAAAGACATGAGCAAGTACAAGGCTCTGGCTTTTGATTCTAGCGAGAGCCCGGATCTTGTATGAGACCAGTTCTTGTTTTGGTTTTTGGATGCAAAGTAAAACATTCTTCGTGCAAGCTGGCCCGTAAATCTTAACTCCAAGAAGCAAGTTTTTTGTAAGCTTTGGTACCAGATAGAATGCAAATTCCCGTAGTAAGCGATCTTTTACGCAAGAAAAACCATCTATCGTTCAGTACTGTAAGTAACGAGTAACGTAAGTTTCTTAAGAAAACATTGCTTTAGGGCAACCGATCTTTCTCCTCCGCCCTTAAAGCTCTGAGGAGTCAAGCCTTCGTCCAGCAGCTTTAGTATGCAATGCAGCATCTAAAAATCCTCGTTATAATCAAGAACTAAATTCATATCCCAAAGTACTAGCACTCGAAGTACTACAGTTCCATGTAAATCTTGAGCTCTGCTGATCAATTAAAAAGAGCGCGTGATCACTTCACTGGCGAGAGCTGGAGCTGTAGCGATGCTCGGTTACTCGCCTGACGCAACATTATCAGCCACGTCATCACTGGCTCCCACCTTGAAGCGGGCGCGCTCATACAATCACTTCTCTCACAAGCTTTTACATATCGAAGGAGGCGCAGTCTTTAGGGTGCCAAGTAAGTTTTAGAATATGCTTGGTGTCCACTGAAATGCTCCACTCTTATACTTTTAACGAGACAGTACCACGAGACATTCTTTGTTTCTCTCGATGCTTTGGTCGAACTCGTTGGAGCTCGGAGGTTTGAAAAGCAAAAACCTTCACTCGTGGGCTCTCGTGGTCTCGTCCCTCATCAAAAGCGGAGACATAAAGGCCGCAAAGTCGGTCTTTGATTCCATGCCCGGGTGGAATGTCGTGGTGTGGAATATGCTCCTTTGCGCATATGCCCGCCGTGGGCATATACTGGAATGTACAAACATCTTCAGTCTTATGGCAGAAAGGAACATCATTTCCTGGAATGCCTTGCTTCTCCTTTATAGAACCACTGGCGAAATTGATCAATCGAAGGTGATATTTCAGAACATGCCAGAGCATAACGTAGTATCATGGACAATTTTGCTATCGGCATATGCCCGATTATGGGATCTGGAGAGTGCGAGACATGTTTTTGATTCCATGCCCGAGAGGTCTCTCGTCTCCTGGACGGCGATGCTCGAATGTTATGTCCAGAGGGACGAGATGGAACTAGCGAGAAAGGTTTTTGACGACATGCCCGAGCGTGATCTCTTCTCGTGGACGTCCATTCTCTGCGGGTACGCGAAGCTGGGAGATGCCCGCGCCGCGAGAGAGCTCTTGGATCGAATGCCCCTGGGAGACGTCGTCTCGTGGAGCTGCGTGATCGAGGCACTCGTGAGGGACTCTCAGATTTCTAGAGCTCGCGAGATCTTCGACAGTCTCCCGGTGTGTGATCTTCATTGCTCCAATGTGATGCTTGCAGCGTATGCCCAAAGAGGAGATCTAGAGGAGGCGAAAGCATTGTTTGATCGCATCCTTTTGAGAAACTGTTTCACTTGCACTTCTATGCTAGATGCATTTTCTAAGTCTGGAAGAACCATTGAAGCGAAGACTTTTTTTGATAATTTTATGCCTGAGTGGAGCTTAGTTTCCTGGAACACCATGCTTTCAGCATTTGCCTTGAGTGGTCATTCGGAGGACGGACAAAGGTTCTTCGATTCGATGCCGGAGAAAACGTTGGCCTCCTGGAATTCTCTACTGGATGCTTACACTCATGCTGGGAACGTTTCGGCTGCTAAAGAGATCTTTGATAGAATGCTAGAGCGGGATAAATTCTCGTGGAACTCACTGCTCACTGCGTTCTCCCAAAATAACTACGTGGATGAGAGCAAAGAACTGTTTAACAGCATGAAGATCGTTGAATCACCAGACCAGGTATCATTCCTGTCAATCCTCCACACTTGCAGCCACACCGGAAATCTCAGCGATGGAAGATCACACTTCGGGTCAATGAGTCTGGATTTCAGCTTGGAGCCCACCAAGCACCACTTTTGCTGCATGATCGATCTGCTCGCAAGATCCGGTTACCTGCACCAAGCGTGGCATCTGCTGGAAACCACGAATTCTACCAGTGAAGCCGGCTGGACGAGTTTTCTGGGAGCATGTCGAAACTTCCGCAATCCTGGGCTGGCTAAGCTCGCCACAGGCTCCATTCTCAACATGAATGTAGGCAACAGGGCAGCTTACGATTTGTACTTAAGTGTGTTGTCTCAAAAAAACAAAAATATAATTTGAATAATTAAATATGCCACGTGGTTCTATACTATTATTATTTTTACAAGTATACCATTCATGCATTTTAGGGTTTATGGCATTTTCGCATTTTCGTTGGGGTTTTGCTCGGGAGGAGTTGGCGGTCCAGGTTAGAACGATTGCCAATCTTGTTTGCGCAATAGCTGACGAGAAAGGTGGCAATCCCACTCGCAGTGCACGCCTTTTGGAGCGGTTTATCCTCGGCGACCACATCCCAGGCGACGTGCTACGTACCACAAATGGCTGTGAGCCAATTCCGTGTGCGTGAATCCCACCGCCGACTTCGAGAACAAGCACAAGGTGGAGGTTTCTCTGCCCCTGTTCGTGATCAAACAAGGTACTGGCTTTCCAGACACCGACATTGAGGACAGCGGACCTCTGCTTGTGAGGGATCACTATAGCACCTTCTTGGCGATGATCCGGGACAGATTCTACTGCATACTCAGCCGCCGCTGCTGCAAGGTGGTCGGCCCATGAGGCATGTTATCATAGCAGGAAGCTCAGGAACTGGTAAGAGGACGCTATCTCTTGTGCGAGCTTCGTCATGCCGCGTTTAGGGACTGGAAGATCATCTGGGAAGATTCTGCTCCACAGGTTGAAACGAGCCCGAGTTACTTCTTTCGGGGGAGTGAAGTCGGGAGTGAAGTTCGGAAAGGGATGGTCGGGGATTTCGATCATCTGGCTGACCGGGAGAAGACGGTGTTTCTGGTGAACGGCCGTCTCTCAGGCCTGTACACAAGCTGAGCAAGGTGGTCGTGTTCTCGTCGGACTGGGATGAAAAACCATACACCAAGCGGTTCCTCAAGGACACACGGACGCTGGTTCTCTACATGCCAACATGGGATCTTTGCGAGGTTGCGCTCTTGTCCGCGTCCAGGGGGGTGCTGCGAACCCCTAGAGACTTCGAAGCCGTGGTGGCTCGCACGCGCGGTAGTGACAAGTTCGATTGCGCGGACTACAACCCGAGGCTCTAGACGACGCCAGAAGTGCCAGCGACCTAGATATCGTGAGAGCTCGTGGACAGGATACCTCTTCCATTTCGAAGTGCTCGACTCAACGTACACGACTGCTGCAGTCACGTATGCGTCTCCGTATGTGAAAGCGAGGCTAGAAGCGGAACGGGTGCTCATGACCGGCATCAAAGAAGATATCAGATTATCGAGAGGAAGAAGCGGATACCCCAGGAAGCGGCCATGGTGCGAGTACCTATGAACATCTGGTGCACTCTCTAGTGACGGCAGGCACCATGGCGGAGTGTAGTGTGCTTGGGCTTTGGTTCCGAACTGTCACGCTTCCTCAAGCTCAAGGATGTCAAGGGCGACTGCCCAGGATACTACGTCCCCGTTTACTGGCCGTGCCCGTGCTACGACTCGCTTGCGGTTCTTCCGGGTGGCGAATGCTGGCTGCTGCGGATAACACGAAATGTGGAGCAGGATGCCCTGTTCGGCTACGTTGATGCAGCGATCCAGCGTTTCAAAGCTGTGAGGTTCCTGTACGTGGTGCCGGAGGAGCTTTTCGCTTCGTACCCGTACCAGAAGCTCATGTGGGGCAAGCAGGAGAGGAATTGGCCTAGTTAGCGTGGCCGGCATTCCAGACACGGCGTTTTGGGGGCTGTTGAGCGAGCAATCTTCCAAGCGCCTGAGAACTGCTTGTTAAAAGCTTGCAAACCGGTTTTAATTTCATGGAAAGCCACGAGTTCGATTTCATATTCCAACGTGGTGAATATGCTGGGCAGCCCCATGTATACGCTACCATCTCAGTTGGTTTTCTTTTTTTTTCAAAAATCGATTGTTATGCGATCTTTTTCTGGCGAGACATGATGCCTCACATTCTTGAGGGGGGATAGCATTCTATCAAAGATCTCTTGCTGCGGCATACCGCGACTGCCTCACATTCTTCTGATGATGCTGCGTTAAGAGCGCTATAATATCATAAATTCAAGTGGTTCTTGTTGAAAAAAATTTGCTTCTTGCTGTTGAGATTCGCGGGCCAGCTTTGGGGGGCTGGGAACTTAACGCTATCCTCTAGACCCCGATCAAGTTGGCCATAAAGACTTAGCCTGGAAAGCCACACCGTCTAAGTCCGCCAAAGCGATCAAGGGTCAGCGGCCCCATTTGGTGCGTCGCGGAGAGCAAAGCTCTTGCTACATGTCCCAGGAGCATTCCCACCTGGAAGACGAGGCAGTGAGCTTCCGGTGCAGTGGCTGAGGTCGAAGCTAATCGAAAATATGAAAGGGAACGTGCTACAAAAAACGAAGTAGCTCGCCATTGCGAGATTGGTCTCGACCGAAGCCAGTATCAACATGGCAAGCGCTCTCTTGTTCAAGGCTCGCCTCTAAGCAGGATGCGCAGCAAGCTACATTCGCTGGTGGAATCTCTTCCTACCGGGACCTCTGTGCCGCTGTTGGTATTTTCAAGTGGCTTTGGATCGAACGAAGGCGATCTCAACAGAAGGCCGCCACCAGAAGAAGAGTTGCGCTGCTGCTTCAGCTACACAGATTGGACGGCGACAAGATCAGCAGCTGGATAGTTTTATCGACCACTGCGGGTTCTACTGCAGTGAGACTCTAGCCAGGGGTATTGAGTGGCTCGCGACTTTAGCGCCAGCTCAGCCAGATGGATCTCCGCGACTTGGTGGCAGAAAAGCTCTACTCTACGTTAAACTCGTCACGGGAAGAAACCAAAGCCAACGTAGCAGTCTTCAACAAAGCGCTCCAGGACACTACAGCGGAGGTGACAAACGCTGTCAGTACGAGTCCCAGTCACTGGCCTCCTCCCGACCTTTTGACTTTGCCGGAAGCTTGATATAAGAATCGGGACACTCTTCCCGCAGGCTGGAACAGCTTTGCGACTTTGCAGCCAATTCGCTGGAGCTCTGCCGACTTCCTCCCTTTCCTTGCCTTTAGCAACCGCGTTCGCTCTAGCTCTCTCACCATTGTCGGTGGAGGCAATCCTCGACTGCGTGAGAGCTCAATACAAATCTCTACTGGCTCCGCTGGAAGTGTACCTGAGCAAGCTCGGCTACCAAGAACCGGAGGCTAACCGTGTCGCAGCCAGCATTTTGGATGGAGCTGGCTCCCGGATCCTGGCGAACTGGCGTCGGGTGTTCCGGAGCATTTTCTGGACGAAGCTGATGCGTCTGAACAGCGAGCCTCTCCCAACGGTTTATCTCTTGCGCGAGATGTCCTTTCACAGAGACGAGGTAGGGGACTTCGAAAAGAGTCTCGTGTTTGCGTCTTGGCTCCAAGGTGGCGACGTCCCCGAGTCGATCCAGGAAAAGATTGTGAGTTTTGTGGAACCGGCAGTACACCAAGGAGACCGCGTGGTACTGCGCCAGAGGACGTGATGCTCAGGCACGAGCTCGAGTACCTGAGAAGCGGAGATGAGCTCGAGCTTTTGAGTCTACTCCCGAAGGCCAGGGACGAAGAAGAGGCAGTGCTACCTCAGACGGAACCGACGAGCTAGTGGCCAGAAGGCTGGATGAAAACACTCAGGCAGCAGCGACTGGACTGGAAGAAATTCCTCGGCCGTGGACAGAGGACACGAAGCTGCTCGTGCTCATGCCAGAGGGGATCGGCTTGGAAGTTTTGGAAGTGACGAGCCCGAGGTCTTCAAGCTCGGACAGCTACAAGAGCTCTTGAGTAGACACTCGTCTCTGGGAAGCTTACAAGTTACTTTGGCGTTTTTTGACATAACTACTCGACAAATGTTTGCAACTTTGTAAATGTATTCATTTCTTTTCAAGGAAACCACAGAGTGCTTTGTGTAGATTGTCTCGTTTTGCCACTGCCAAAGCGTACACTTCCTTCTACCCATCGTTAGCTGGCCCTGGAACGTTGTTCTGCAATCTCATGGCGTTGCAAAAACAAAAGGAAGTTAGACAAACCATAAAGAAAACTAAAGAGAACATAGACCTGGGGTTGAAGCCTCTTAGTTCGTTGAACAAACATTTAGGTTAGAACAAGCAGCTCATGAACCTGTTAAACTTCGACTTCCATATCGTTAGACAGCCAGAGTTTTCATGATCGTTGTTTTCATTGAGGTTGGACCATTGTCATGTACGTCTTCAACTGGATTGAAGTTCTGGAGATTGCAAATGCCCAACGTTGTTTCTCAGCTCGCAGGTCTTGCGTTGAGCACAGCAGCAACATTGCTGAAAATCTTTCCAAAATGTTGACACAGATTCTCTCCAATCTCGTAGCATTTTACAGCGTTTTTTAGTTCTTATCGTGGTTGAGCAGCACCAACATGTCACTTGTCTTTTTCATGACAAGAAATTAGAACAAATTGAAACACACACAAACCTGACAACATGAAGCTAAGTATGTCAACTTCCAACGATCGTTGGTTTTATTAAGTTTCCCTTCGAGTTGAGAGTTCCTTGGACCGTTGTTTGCACTTAGCTTGTTTGCGTTGTTTGATCGAGCATATCAGTTTAACTTGGACTGTGTCACTGGCTCCCTTTTGTTGCGTTGAGCATAGCATCGAAAAGAAAGAGCGTCTTCAAACGTTGAGAGTTTCAACACGAATTCTTGATCGCCTCTAGCCTCTCTTTATCGTTGATCATAGAGAATACATCTTAACTCGTTGCAAGCAGCTTCGCTTTCTTGTCTCCAGCAAACCTCTCTTGTTTCGTTGACTTACTCGCTTATTGCTAACACAAAGAAAAGCCCTAAAAGAACTTACCTTGCGAGGTGAGTGGACTGAGCCGGTCAAGGATCAGCGACTGTTTTCATTGAGGTCGGACCACTGTCGTGTAGAACTTCAGCTGGATTTAAGTTCCGAAGATCACAGTTGTCGCAGATCTTGCGTTGAGCACAGCAACAACACAACTCAAAGCTCCAAAACGTTGACACAAAATCTCTCCAATCTAGTAGCATTTTTCTTCTTGGAACACGCTGTGACATGGCGTTTTTCAGTTCTTATCGTCGTTGAGCAGCACCAGCATGTCACTTGGCTTCTTCATGACAAGGAATTAGAACAAATCCAAACACACGCGAACCTGACAACGTGAAACTAAGTATCGTTGATCGCTAGTATTCACACAGCGTTGTCCACATCAGTGCGTTTCCCTTCGCGTTGAGAGTTCCTTGGCCCGTTGTCTTGCACTTTGCTTGTTTGAGTTGTTTGTTGTGTCACTGGCTCCCTTTTGCGTTGCAATCGAAAAGAGGTGTCTTCAAGCGTTGAGAGTTTCAACACGATTTCTTGATCGCCTCTAGCATAACTCTTAGGTCTTTCCAAATCTCTGTCTTACTCGCTTGTTGCTAACGCAAAGAAAAGCCCTACCTAAACGAACTTACCTTGCGAGGGTGGAGAGAGGCGAAGCAGCCTACCTGGACAATGGGCAGAGTGGAAGGATCAGCGACCCCAACCCCAACCCGTCCGTTACATCCACCATCACTGCTCTAGCCCTTCATCAACGATGAACCCTAAACTTGAAAGTTCTTAATTAATGAGCTACTTAATTACTCGATCTGATCTCGGCTTGGAACCAATAAAGCGGAGGAGTCCAATATCCGACTTCTAGTACTTCTTTCCGCGAGTGTTAATCTATGTTTCTTGAGGGAAAGACGCTGGTATTTTTGGCTTCGGTTTACAAGCGCATAAACCGAAAACCACTACGAAGAGTTTCGTTTTCTTTCTTCCAACGTTGATGTTTGCATTGCGACACAGAGAGCCGAGACGAATAGCCGGGCTTCACAATTTCAAAAATCACCGGCCAAGAGACAAGACAAAAATCGCAAGCATCCTCGGTCTGAAGAGCAAGACGCAAGCCCATCGGGGAGCAAAGGAGCGAGGAGAGAGGAGCTGAGACTTCCGCGACGCTCTACGATGCGATGTGGGCAATATCCATGGATGGAGGCCTCGCAACCCCAGCCGAGAAGCACATAGATGTGGGTGCAAGACAGCATGGTAGCTGAGAAAACGTAAGAACTCGTTCAGACGATTATGAAGAACAGGACCACTCTCCAAAAAAGCAGGAGATTTACTAGTCCTGGAGAGGTTTCGCTGGCTGAAGCTGAGGAGTTAGAAAGGAAAGAAGAAGAAGCTCGACTGAAAGAAGCTCGACAAGAAGAAAAGAGGATGAAGTTCGAGGAGGCAAGTACAGGACGTGCACGGCACTGGTTCCGGTTTGTATTGACTCAGATTTTTTCTTTTTCCTCCCGTCATCAATGATCCTTGGCTTGCAGATCCAACACGGACGAAAGTAACTTTGCAACAAGTATTAGTAGCGTAGAAAGACCTTGAAATGCACGATACCTGTGCACGTAATCTACAGCTTGGATCATATTGCACTATGAAACTAAGCCCCAGTGCAGCGACGTCCGTGCACAGCAGCAGGTCCTTTGAGCCTGCGAGAACTTGTGAAACGTGTCCTCCTTCCCTCTGTTCGACAATGCCGTGTAGCTTATATATGTCACAATCTCCCGCGCATGGACCTATCATCGTCCATACGAAAACTTGAGACACTAAAGGAGCTTACCTGTAGGAGCCCTTAGCAGAGCCAAGAATGTAACCAGAAGTATCTTACTTGACGGACAGGAGAGATAAAATACGTTGCAGAACCTTTTTGGTGTGTTCAATAATAGCGTTGGTGTGGTCCGTCGCTCCTTCAGAAGGCGTAGACGACAAACCTATGGTAGCAGAGAGACTAATCTTGGCAAGCTTGTTCACTGTCGTTCAGTGTGGCCGATAAAAGAACGATAAAAGTTGCCTCTTGCTGCCATTACACTGGTGCGTACCAAGGAAATCGAGAATGCTTCTGATATCCCATGTCTAATCACCTGAAGGACAGAATTTTAGAAGGAGAAATAGACTCACGGCATTTCCCACCTATCCCATCAAAGAACAATCCATTGCAAAAAATCATACTGAAACGACGCCGTGTTCTTCAAATGATCCAGCAAGTAGCGATCAGAATGGTGATACCTGACTAGCCAGAATCTGGGATTTAAATCAAGACCAAACAAAGAACTTTACCACACGTTTCCGCAGTCGCGACTTTCTCTTTCGCTCGGTTTTTAACCCTGGAACAAGCCAGTATAACCGGTGCACAAGCTGCCACACACTTGGATGAAAAGCTCCTGGAACGAGGATCACAGCTGCTGAGCTCGAGGACGTGCTGTTACACGAGACCAGCTTGCGGGCTTGAAGCGAGAGATGACATGCACTTGCTTGCCGAGGGGTTCAGAAACGTGGAGATGAAGGGTGGAGATGAACGTGGAGATGAAGCGATCAAGCAAGAAGTCGCTGCTAGCAGAAAGAGGGCGGAGAGCATGTGGATCGAGCTTCTGCTTGCGAGATCTTCGTGTGTAAAATCTTGTGGCTGCAAGCACCCCGTGAGAGCTTACCTCTGGATGGATCGAATGCTGCACTGCGGCGCCTGGTGACAATTTTAAGGAAGTACCTGCCTAGCAGTTGCCAGCCTCCACCAAAATTTCTCCTTCAACAGGACAGTACAGCATGCAAGCACCAACAAGAAAGTATATAGAAGTTTAAAACAGCCATAACAAACAAGCCTGAAGCAAGCTGATCTCATTGTGGATATTTTAACACAAAAACCTCAAGTTCCACTCTCTCCACATGCGAGTTTGGAGGATTGGAGCAAGGAACTCGGTGTTTGTAAATTCCAAAAGCTGTAAGTGCCTTCTCCTTCAGCGTTTTCAAGAAAGGTTCCTCCGAAGGTAGTGCATGGCCAGTTTGTCCAGGTTTACTTGCTTGCTCAAGGTTTAAGAAATCAGCTAAAAACTGTTGGCTCATATTTATTATATATATAATTATTCCAAGGAAGTATAATATAAAACATCAAAGTTCCAAGACGCCTCCACAAATCTTCGAAATCAAGGTTGGCTTTGTGTCTGACGAAGATACTGCAATGTTGTGATGTTTGGCAAGGTTCTCCAGCTTCTGTTTTGTAAATTCCGACTTGGAGAGAATACCTTGAATTAAGGCCACAACCTGTGGTGTTCCGAGCGATGGTCCAGCAGCCACTGCATCTGCTATAGCCTTAGTTTCAGCTTCGGCTTCTTTCTCCGCTCCTTCTTGTAACGCCTCGTATCTTTTAGCGGCAACTTCTTTCAGCGTCTGCCCAATGTCGCTGCTAACCGAGCCTGTGAAAGCGTCTTGAAACGAGACGGTGTGCAATGAGTACTTGACATTACCATAGCATCCACTGCCCCTCATTGGTTTCAGGTATTCTGGCACCGGTTTCACTGGCAAGCTCCGCGTGCAAAGGAAGACAAAATGCAACTCCCATTTGCTTAGGTGCTCCTCCGGTATCCAACTTATGATGCTGTTAAAAGACATAAATTCCTCTGCGCTGGCCTGGTGCTTCTCGTCATTGACAGTCACTTGGATGGCAAGAAGATGCAACTTTCCGGAAGCATCTCGCCACACGATAAGCCCGTCGATAGAGCGATAATTATACGTGAGCGGAAGGAAATAAATAATTCCTCCAGTCTCTGCCTCAGAGATCCACGTCTTGTAGTCTGGAACACTACCAAATCTTTGGGTCTGACCAGTCCGGATATGCATACCGTTGAGATTCAAGCCCTTACAGCTGATTACTTCCGCAGCCAGGTTTTCAACAAGCCATCCCATTTCAGCCCAGTTTATGGGGCCGACTTGATCAAGCAAGTACCTGCAATAGTGATGCCATGCAGTCTTCTCATATACTGTCCGGCTTTCTGCCTCCCTGAACCCTTCAGTGTATATCCTCCTGATGTACGGAGTTACATAATCTGCATCGTTACATTTCGGATCCCCAACTACGAACCTCATGTCCTGTTCCATCATGCTCACTTGTGAATGACAGGCGGTTGACAAGCGTAAAAGTGTGTCCGCAAGTAAAGCCCTGATGCTGGACATTTCTGCTGAAGAAACAAATAACTTCACCACTTCCTCCCATTCATCCTTATCTTTTAGCAGGTTGGCAATCTCCACATCACTAGGCACCGGGAAAGTGGCTCGGAAAACGGCATCGAAATCAACATCGTCGCTTGTCAGACGGTTCCGAGCATGAAGTCTGCAGGATGAGTCCAAAACAGACAGCGAAAGAGGGTGGTCACCACCATAATATGCTATCTGTTCCCGCCACTGAGGAAGGCAGCCTAGAATGGATGCATGGTTCAAGTAAGCGCCATACTCCTCCTGCAAGAATGATCGGCTGGCTAAGGAAACCAGAGATAAACGAAGTACTTACTCCCCAAAATCCCTGCTGGAACTGGACCCAGTATGAATCACCCTTACGCTTGCGAGAAAAATCCGCCATAGGAGAGAGTGCCTTAATAGAGACATGCGCTTTCTGAAGCAAGCTCGACAACTTCGTGTCCACGGCAGCTCGATGATCCTCGCCGGTATCAAGAACCTGAGCCCCATCAACTATGAAGTAGAATCTCTCCTTCAGCTCCAGCCTTTGGTCCAGAAATTTCTCCACGCCTTCCAGCGACTCGAGACTGTCAATCTCTTGCAGTACATCTTGCGCCTGGCAATAAGTGAAACGTAGTGCGTCTTTCACCTGCGCCAATAAAGTGGTGTATGCGGATTCTATGCTCCACAGGCAGACGATTCTAATGTTTCCCTCCTCGCGGCCTTTCAAGAACAGCAGCCATGCAAGTCCCCTCAGGTAGCAGCTCTTCCCCACGCCCTTTGGTCCCGTCACGTAGATTATATGTCCTTGGCCTGGATGTTTACAAGCGTGGAGGAATGCCCGGAACAGTCCAGCTATGTCTTCCCTGGCTGCAAACTTCAAATCCCCGCCTGGTCTACGAGGGGGCACGCCTATGCCTGGATATGGTAACGAACTCACCTCCCCAGGCGCCTTGAGCTTCTCATAGAGCTCCTTCCAAGGGATCTTTTGCATATTCCCATGCGCTTCCCTCGCTCTGGTCAGATTGTACACTGTTCCATCCAGTAGCCTCGGGTAAGCCACCACAACAGAGCGCCGGCGGCCTATCATCCTTAAACCCTATATGTTGCAGGTTTATCTTTACCTCTATTGTTAAGATCAAGGTAATGTAGAAACTAACATATAATAAAATCAAATATATTGATTGATAGATATTTTTAGTCCACGAAGGCTACTCGCAAAGAATGTAGCTTTAGCTACCGCTTCTCTATTCCATTTTGGCAGCGTGGAGCCTCCTCTTTTTCCCGGCTCTCTTCTTTTCAGCTCTCATTCTCTTGGATGCCTTTTGCGCGGAGCACTTGGACAAGCCCGATGGTGCGTCGCGGAGAGCAAAGCTCTTGGCTACGTGTCCCAGGTGAAGCATTCTCACCTGGAAGATCTTCCTCAAGCCCTCCCTGTGGACGGCATACGCACGCACGGAAGAGCGAAATGCATTTACTGCAAGCTGCTTGAGATCACCCTGAAAGAAAACTCAAAAATGAGAAAACAAAACGGAAAGGGCCAGTTGGAGTTTGTACCTCTGACGTGACAAATGACTCGAGAGCGGTTTGCATGGCTGCAGCTGCTGGATGCATTTCTGCAACTTCGACGCTTGCAAAGCTCCTTTTCTGAGAAATGGTGTAGATAGAATCCAGAACCTTACGAGTGTCGAGGTCCTTCAGAACCACGCCATGCTTGCGCAGTTCTTGAACGTACTCGGCTTCACACGGTTGTAGAAACAAAGTTGCTTCACCTTTCCTACCAAGCCTGGCAGTTCTTCCAACTCTGCGATTACAAGCATTAGTAGCGTAGAAAGGCCTTGAAATGCACGATACCTTACCTGTGCACGTAATCTACAGGTTCACCTGGAGGATCATATTGCACTATGAAACTAAGCCCCTTAAAATCAAGTCCCCGTGCAGCGACGTCCGTGCACAGGAGCAGGGCCCTTTCAGCCTGCGAGAACTTGTGAAACGTGTCCGTTCGTTCCCTCTGTTCGACATTGCCGTGCAGCTTAAATATGTCGCAATCCAAAAATCTCCCCCGCATGGAGCTTCCGTCGTCCATGACCCAGGAGAATCTGCTCATGACAGTATGGTGAAAATCTACTGCATCGCATGTAGAGAAAAAGACAACTATCTGGAAAAACATTTGTATGATCACCAAAACATTTAGAGAGAGAAAAAGCTTACCTTGTAGGAGCCTTTTGTGCTGTTAAGTTTCAGCCTTAGCAGAGCCAACAATGTGACCAGACGTATCTTGCTTGAAACTACGGACACGTGAGCAGATGTTAGAACCCAAGCAAAGACAATAAAATTGGTGTAGAACCTTTTAGAACACACTGTTGCAGCTTATCTGAGATGCTGTATTCAATATTAGCGTTGGTGTCCAGGTCCGGCGCTCCTTCAGGAGGCGTTGACGACAAACCTATGGTAGCAGGATCGCAGAGACTAATCTTGGCAAGCTTGTTCACTCTATCGTTCAGTGTGGCCGATAAAAGAACGTGCTGCCTTTTGCTGCCATTACGCTGGTGCGTACCAAGGAAATCGAGAATGCTTCTGATATCCTTCTCGAATCCCATGTCTAATAACCTGAAGGACAGTATTTTAGAAGGAGAAATAGAATCACGCAACTTCCCACCTATCCGCCTCGTCAAAAACAATCCATTGCAAAAAGTCATACTGAAACGACGCAGTGTTCTTCAAATGATCCAGCAAGCGTCCCGGTGTAGCGATCAGAATGGTGATACCTGACTAGCCAGAATCTGGAATTTAGTTCAAGACCAAACAAGGGACTTCAACACACCTTTCCGCAGTCGCGCTTTCTCTTTCGCTCGGTTTTCTCCACCCATGATGTGGCCTGGAACAAGCCAGTGGAATCGGTGCACAAGCTGCTCTGCTACGCCACATACTTGGATGCAAAGCTCCCTCGTTGGAACGAGGATCACAGCTGTGGACAGTGCAAACATCAACCTTGAAAGTAGCAAACGAGAAAAGAAAAACAAACAAGGAGAAGGAACTCTTCGTACCAAATGTACCCTCCGTCCTAGTGATTTTTGGTTCACGCGCTTGTAAACCATGGACGATTGGAGCCAGATATACCAGCGTCTTTCCCGTTCCTGTCCGAGCATTCACGAGGCTGGTAAAACTGTCAAGACCGCTCTCACAAAACAGAGAATAACACTCACAGGTCTCTCCCGGAAAGAAGTAATGGAATCGCCGATTTCTGGACAACAGTCGGAGATTGGAACCCCATAGCTCCTGAAAATGCGCCGCTGTCGCGTATGTTCTAGATGAATTCTCAATCGCCTTACCGTGCAAATGCGCCGCGAGGCGTGGCTCCAGGCCGAGATCGCCGAATTCGCCACTCCCGAACACGGCGTCTTTCATGAGGCTAGAACCATAAACCCTAAGATCAAAAACCCAAAGAAAAAGAAAAGGGGCATTCCGAGAATTGAACTCGGGACCTCTCGCACCCTAAGCGAGAATCATACCAGTAGACCAAATGCCCATGATTTACATGTTAAGCTAAACAATTTTTAATTTATAGACTAATAAACACCCTTTAACCCGTTATTCGAGCATATGCTCTAGATCAAAGATTGCATCATAGGGCTTCCTCTTTTGGCACGCCATACGCGTTTGAGTGCTGACTGATATTTGTCCACGCCAGAGCTCTCGCCCTTGCAATGGAGGCGATGGCGGTGGCGTCGGCGGCGGCCACGACCAGCGGGGCGCAGCAGCAGCTGGATCGATTGCACAGAGCGGCGGCGGCGTCGCGAGCGTCCTCCTGCGATTGCAAATCCTTGGCGCCTCCTCCCCCACAGCATTTGGTTTGGGGCTACACGAATCGCAGCCTCTTGCGGCGGAGTCCTGCGGAGCGATGCGCGGCGGGAGCGACTCCCACAATGCCGCACAGCTTGCCGTCGGAGAATTCGGCCACGGTATGGTGGAAATTTCTCTCTCCTTCCCCATTTCTTTCTCGCGATTGAGAGGTTCGTGGTTTGCGTGTAGAAGAAGCACGATTATTACACGGTTTGCGATTTCATGACGCCAAGGAAGGATCTCTTTTGTGTTCGGGTCTCAACAACGGTGGATGATGGTCGGTGTTTTCTTTTCTTCTTCTCTTCCAGACTGACTTTGTGGCTTTCGAAAATGATAGCTTTGAAATTGCTCGTGGACAATCGCATTACTGGGCTTCCCGTTATAGACGAGGACGGAAAGCTGGTCAGTCTCTCCATCTCTTTTTTGCAACTCGTAGATCTGAAAGCCAAATCTCTCACAGGTTGGAGTTGTATCAGACTACGATTTACTAGCTCTCGATTCTATCTCGGGTAAGCCAGAGCTCCAAAGTTTTTTTTTTTATGAATTTCTCAAAATCTCAGGGAAGAGGCCATCGACCAACAGTTTGTTCCCCGAGGCAGGAAGTACATGGAAGGTGAGCAAAACTTTCTAGAGTTTCCATTCGCAATGAGCTTTTTTTTCTTTCTTTCAGGCCTTTAAAGAGATCCAACACCTTCTCACCAAAACGCAAGGCAAGACTGTGGGAGATTTGATGACTCCCTCGCCGCTGGTGGTTCGAGTGGACATGAACATTGAAGACGCAGCCAGGTAGCTTCAAACGTTTCTCCTATACTTGATAGAAATTTCGCTAAAACTTCTCGGTTTTCCTTTGGATCCAAGGATATTACTTGACACCAAGTACCGGAGGCTTCCTGTTGTGGACGAGTGTGGAAAACTGGTAACGAAGAATTAGATTTGCTTGATTGTGAGAATTCTTACATAAACCTCCAGGTCGGTTTGATCACGAGAGGCAACGTTGTTCGAGCAGCGTTGCAAGTCAAGCGTGCTGCCGAGGAAAATACTTCCAGCTCGTGACAAAGAAAAATATTTATTCTCGGAATCGTCCCAGAAGACTCACATTCATTTGTTCTCTCTGCGGCCAATTCTTTGTATTTCTATTTGGTTAACAAAGGATCACATCTTAAACGAGAAAATGTCGTTTTATGAGTTCCTAGAATTTGGATTTAAAAGTCGTTTTTATCTCTTTGTACAATGTGATTCAACTCCCACCACCACCGCCACCGCCACCGCAACCACCACCACCACCGCCTCCGCCTCCGCCACACCCACCACCACCGCCTCCGCCACATCCACCACCGCCTCCGCCACCTCCTCCACAACCTCCTCCTCCACCTCCTGCTCCACCACATCCCCCACCTCCACTGATGCCACACCCGCCTCCGCCACCACCTCCGCCACAATACGAACCACCTCCATCATACCAGCACTGGCCTTCACCACCAAAACCATCACCACCAGTGTGACCGCCAAAGTCGCCACCAGTGTCACCGCCAAAGTCACCATCGTGGCCCCCGCCAAAGTCACCACCGTGGCCCCCGCCCTCTCGCCTACCACCTTCAATCTCCTTGCGGCGACGGCGATCAATCATCACAGCACCTGGTCAGGCAGCAATGTTCTTAGTATTTGGGTGCAAAATACTCGTTTCTCACCCCAATGATCTTGTTCTTCTTCTGAGACGATCACTCGTTTACTCGTCGTCATCCACGAAGGAATGGATTTGCCGAGCATATCGGACACGGACATGCTTATGGTTGCCGACAAAAGAAGCACAAGCAGCACATCCTCGTTGGGATCAATCTGGAAGTAAGCTTTCACTTACGGTTTCTTAGAATGAGATAGATCGAACTTTACCTGCATGCCTCCAGACCGCCAGTTGAAAAGAGCTGTCGCCTTGCCTTGAGGAGCGTCTCTTGTGAATCTCACCATTGTCACAAACCACGCTTCCTGTCGGTCTGACGCACCAGGAACAGCAAATTCCAGGTGACGACCCGAGAAGAGCATGACCTACAATCAAGTTTTCCAGAGAATCAGCCATCTGTACCACTGTATAATCTCACTAACTCACCGGACAGTCGTGGGATTTCATTTCAACGTGGAGCTGTGGTCTCATGTTCCAGCGCTTATCCTTCACATTTCTGTCCACAGTTAAAATAGCCTTCCCGTTCTGCAGAGACCATCTCCTAGACTCCCAAGATGGTTTCTCCAGTTGCCACGCAGATCCCAGAATTTCACCTGAGAAAGAAAAAACATTCTGTCGATCTAAAAGATTTTTTGCTTTTGCCATACCGTTTACAGAGCCAGTGTTATAAGAACCTTTGTATGTCCACCCTCCTTTGTGAACGTGCACAACTTTATCAGTGTCTGGAATGCTTCTTAGCCAAAACCCTCCACGCTTGTATCTACAAGAAAAGCTACCGCATCAGCTCTGGAAAAAAGTGGAAGGCGTGACCACAGCGTACAAACCTGCAACGCACGACGAAGGATTCGACTCTGGCGTGGTCGAAAACGTTCCTTGTTACCCACATGCCTTCGCGGTTACTGTCGTGAGTGGCACAGTCGTCTCCCGTGTCTCTCACTCTCACGCTTCTAAAGAGATAAGGCGCAGTGACTGGAGGAGTAACGGAGATGTAAACCAGCACCGACACTTGTCGGTCCTCCTGCAATGGAAACCAGCCGCCGAGTGATTGTGTTTCCGAACGGATGACATTTATCCATGGAATCACGAGCCGGCCCACAGTTCTGGATGTCAAAAACCGCTTCCGTCGAACTGCTAGCACCAGTCCTTCGGTGGAGAGTTCAGCCGTCATGACTGACACTACGTTCTGCTGAGAGCCAGCCTGCAGTCGTTGGCTTTCGAGCTTCAGAAACTTTTGATGGTTTAACGAGCTGACCACATAGGAGATGGTCTTGTCGTCTGGCAAACCTCTAGTGCCTCGCACGGAGAGATGAACCTACAGAAATCGATCGGATCAGGCGAGATTGACAACAAATCTGCAAACTCAAATACCTGAATGGTCTTTCGCTCAGCCAAGTGATCATCGTTTTTACTAGCAAGCCTAGCGAGCTTGGTTGGATCATAAGCAGGTGTTCCAGGAATGGATACTGGTGGCTCCCCTCTATACATGCAGCCTGCTTTCTCGTATGGAAGGCCATACGTGTCTTCCCACATAGATCGAGTTTTTGTGAATCCATTGTCCAGTTTCCCTCCGGAACCTCGGTTGCTATCTGTGTCGTCATGCTCGAAGATCCTTCCCAGTACCTGTGTGAGATCGTTGTGGTAGCTCACAGTGTGAAGCTGATGAGTGTGCCATATCAAATCGATGTCGTAAGTGGGAACGAAAAACGTTGATGTCCCAGACGTGCGTATGAGATGGAGAAATGCCTTGTAACGTGCAGCTGCAGCTAGCAAGAAGCTCTCATCCAGGTAATGCGGCTCAGAAACCTGCATACTTAAAGTTGAGTTTGCTTTCCAGAAAAGATCACCACTTGCCTGATAGTAGAAACTTTTCTGCCTGAGAGCCGCTTCTGCCAAGTCATAAGAGATATTGGTTGCTCTTTCGGTATATCTTCTTGTCACGTCTCCACCGTAAATGTCTAGAGTGTATGGTTCGTCCGGGAAATTCGAAGCCCAGGTATTGGCGCTTTGTTGGAGATCGCTTTCGTGTCTCGCCAAAGATGGTCCGGCCACAATCTTACCGAACAATCTCTTACAGTCCTCAGCATATTGAACCTAGTCAGAGAGGTCACTTCAGCAAACAGAAAATGAATGGGTACACTTACAGGATTCAAGCGATGGCAATGCCATATCCAATTGCAGTCGAGCGGTGGGACAAAAGTTCCAGAAGAATTTGCTAGCAGCGGAAGGCAGCAGTACTGGTATCTAGAATCCAAGAAGAAATAAGAAAACTGGATCTAGTAATTAATATCTCACCTCTCGATTGCCCTTTCTAAAACAGGGCTCTCAAATAGTCTGAAGTTGGCATGTACCAGCGAAAGAAACTCCAACTGTGATTTTGCAGCTGCTACCACATCCAGAGACACCGCAATTTCTTGAGCTTTGCGCCATTCATTCAGTTGATTCTCGGAAAGGGAAGCCATTCTTGTTGTCTGTGAGTCGAGCACATCCTTAAATTCTTGGGAAGGAGCTGCCTGTTTTGACTCTTTCGTGTTCAAAAATTCGATGTGTCTTGAAGCTTTTGGGTACTTCAGACTAGATCTCGGCATTCACGCGAGCCGCGTGGAAAGCTTCAAGATCCAGTTGACTAGCGAGGCAGGATCGTCGAACTTGCTTTTGTCGTCAAGCCGTTTTTACCAAGACTTGAGAGAAAAAAACATTATCGTCCGTCCCACAAGGACGTGCATCCACGTTGCCCTGCTAAAAACATTCAAAATCGGCTGATAGTTCAGATGCAACTGTACTCTCAAGGGAAATCCACGTCCTTTTGAGCCAAGAGAAGCTCAAAGCGAGGAACAAGAAGTACTCTTCCATGTCCACTTACACTCGCTACTTCGTGCCTAGGCAGTAAAAACACACAGAATTAGAGATTGTTTCACTGCCAGCAATTTTCGTCACCATGGAGGATGAATGCAGAGAACACATCCGACCTGTAGATCGGGAGAAAGGCTGTCGAAAAGAGCAGTGACGACTTGCAAGGACTCCAGAACCTCGCACTTTGTAGACGTGAGATGTGCCTCAGATGATGGTTTTTCGAGCACTCGTAAAGTGAGAGAACCATCTAAAACAAGGATCGCGTTAAAGAAAAAAACGATCACACCAACATACCAGCTGGTTTCAAGTTTGAGCTCAAGTGATTGTGGCACCCTCCCAGATGTGCCAAGAGCGCTTCAAACACATGGAAGAAAGAGTCACTGACTTACGCTTTGACGAGGCTTCTGCCGGAAGATCGCCCTCGTCGCTGCTAAACTCTTGAAGCTCTTGCACAGGAAGCTTGCTCAATGATACATCCTAGAAGAAATATCCAATGAGAGGAGACGAAAGAGAAGAGCCAGGCCATTACCTCAGACGTGGTGCTAGAATCAACCCTGGCAGAGAATGATGCGCAAGCAAACACGGCTAGAAGTTGAGCTACCTCGTGCTTGCGTTGCAATCAAGATCGTCGTCGTCAGCATCCGAGATTCCATCCTCCAGCTCCAGTGGCCGCCGCCTCGTCGTCGTCCTCGGGCGCTTCATAGCTTCCGCCCGCTAGGTTTAAACGAGAAAAAATGCCGTTATAGATACAATAAACACGGGGTGGGGGTTGGGGGCTTAATGTCGTGCAATGGCCTCGTTGCAATGCCGTCGGTGACACAAGCGCGCTGTCTACACATTCCGTGGTAAGTGCCTCCTCGCGGCAGCAGCCTTTGGTTCCCTGGGGCAGTGATGAGAGCAATAGACGGAATCTGGCGGAGCTATGGAAGAAGGCGGAAGAGTCCCACCGAATGGAAATCCACGAGAATTGTCCATTGCACCTTGCTGCTCAACAAGGCAGTACTGAATTAGTTCAATAGCTGCCAATGATGAGGCCACTCCAACGCAAGCCATGGCATGTTATTCTAAACCAGTACTGTGTGATATAGTGTGTTATTTGTGGATGTGGTAAAAAAGTCTAAACTACCTCTGCCATGTGGTGATATTTCATTGGCCTTTCATAATTTTATGCATTTTATGATGGAGAATATACATATTGTCACATTTATAAATATATGTATGTATATACATATATTACCCTAGCTAAGTAATACACTAATTATAATACTATAATATATAGATTATCTATTTGGGACTAAATTTAGTCCATCCATTCTTATATATAAGTAGGGGTTTAAACCCCAATTAATATATCTATTTTTATATTCTAAGCATTCACATTAGTGGAGGTGAAAGGCATTGCAATTTGTCCCTAAAGGGTAAAGCTTTTTGACAGTAGTGTGTAAGCTCCTGAGTTTGGACTTCCTGGGAGGTCACCCAGCCCAGTACTATTCAAACCCAAGGACGCTTAACTCCAACTATCCCAAGACCCTTAACCGATTGGAAAAGGGGGTGCACTCTTGTTCATGGGCCCTTTCCCTCTATATTTGAACCCCATGGATCGTCTTTCGAATCGTTCCCTTTGGTTGCTTACAATCCACCACGCTTCCTTGCAAGTTCACGCCCTCGTGAACGGAAGCTGAGAGCCGCAACTCTCCCGAGAGCCTCGCTCTCTTGACACCCTACCCCTCGGGTCGAGCCCAGTGGGAGCAAACTGGACCAGCCAGATGTCAATCAACATGTGGTGTGATTCCCCTAGCCAACCAACAGAGTCAGACCCGAGACCGCTCCGATACCAAATGTAAGCTCCTGAGTTTGGACTTCCTGGGAGGTCACCCAGCCCAGTACTATTCAAACCCAAGGACGCTTAACTCCAACTATCCCAAGACCCTTAACCGATTGGAAAAGGGGGTGCACTCTTGTTCATGGGCCCTTTCCCTCTATATTTGAACCCCATGGATCGTCTCTCGAATCGTTCCCTTTGGTTGCTTACATAGTGTTCAGGATTGTGCTTTTTTATTTTTATTTTTTCATTCTCGTCTAGATTTGTGAGTGCTTGGAATATGGAAAGGGAATACAAAAATGTGCATATTAATTAGCCCAAAAACCCTAATTTATATATAGGAGTGAGTGGTCCAGATTGAAACCAATCCGACGGCTATCAAAATCCCACTACGCTAATATTAGTATACAGCATCGTAACCGTACACTTGGCCCTCACATCATCCCCTCCTCTTGGGATAATGGAAAACCATCAGGGTTCTCTTGAAGATGGGCCGGGATCCGGAGGAACAATAGGAGGAGGCATCAGTGGATCTGTAGGTGGTATTAACTCCTCCTGATCCCTTTGTACGAAGCGTTTTAGCCGTTGCACATGCACAATCTCTGGAGGATCGGCCTGTTGAACGTCATGCTGAACTCATAAACTTGTGGTCCAATTTGTCGCAACACTTGTTATGGTCTTTTCCATTGCTCAAGAAGCCCCTTAGATAAACCACGTACCGTAAAATGGGGAAAACAGACTAACACCAAATCATCCACTTTGTACTCCGCAGGTGGACGATGATGGGAGTTGTAGCGCTGTTGTTGTCCCACTTGTACGCAGCCTAAGTGTTCGGCAAACTCTACTCGGACAAGTGGAAGAATGCTCGTCAAATACTGATCCCATGATCTAGCATCGGCAGCACGTGGCAATCGTGAAGGTAAACCCAGCTCCGTTAGTAATATTGGATCATGACCATATAGGAGTTTATATGGTGAAGCACCAACAGAACTCTGCACCCCTGTAACATATGCATACCGAAGAGACGGCAAATAACCATCCCAATCCAAATGCTGAAAGTTCACATACTTTGCAATCATCCCTTTGAATGTCCGAACAAGCCATTCCACCAGACTGTCTGATTGTGGATGATAAGCACTCGTGAAAGTGTGGCATATCCCCAACCGAGACGTCAAGACATGAAATGCCTCAGCCATAAATGCGGGACTATTATCCGAAAGAATCCGCTCTGGACAAGAATGCTAGAACACCACTCGATTGAGAAGGAAGTATCTAACAGCAGTTGCAGAGGCGCTAGCAAGAGCACCAACTTCCACCCAACGAGTCAAGTAGTCAGAAGCAATAATAACATACTCATTGCCAGCAGTCGACCATGGAAAAGGTCCCATAAGATCAAACGCCACTAACTCAAACGGATGGGAAACTACAATTGACTCCAACCGTCCTTCCGCAGCACGAGGGGGAGTATTACGAGCTTGGCACCAAATGCAGCTACGCACATACCGGATAATATCACGTCACATCTCCGGCCAATAGAAAGACCTGCGCAGCTTCTCGGTGACACAACAGTGTCCCATATGCCCACCTAGAATAGGAGAATCATGGTAGGCATGGAGAAACCGTGGAATAAACACCAAAGGCACCACCAGCCGTAAATGATCATCAGGATCTGTCCCCACAAAATAAAGAAGGCCATCGTCAAGGCGATATTGAGAATGTAAATGCCGGAGAGGCAAGTCATCAGCAAGTGATGCAGGATTCTCAAACCCATCTCGAAGCCTCCAAATCCACAGCTCAATCTTTTGAGCCTCGCGAACCTCATCAAGAGAAGGTAGATCTTGCTCTACACCTTGTGGACACTGAACGTCAAGGACAGCAACCGCCGACGGCACAGAATCCTCATCTAGAAAATCCACAGATGGTGGAACAACAGGTTCGTCAGAAACATGAGAAGTGAGTGGAGAAGGAAGAGGAGCTCGAGAAAGGGCATCAGCATCAGCCATAGAACTCCCTGGGCGATGAACAACATCGAAATCATATATCTGAAGCTTCAAAGCCCATCGAGCCATATGACCAACCAGGTTCTTCCGCTTCAATAATGAAGTAACAGCAGCATAGTCACCTTCAAGTAACGTCCGAGAACCATGTAGATAGGCATGAAGTTTCTCGAAACCCCAGATTGCTGCTAAACACTCCTTCTCCATCGTGGAGTAGTTCATCTCCGCTGGTTATAATGTACGGCTTATGTATGCAATGGGATGGTGCTGACCCAGCACACTCGAGCTCTCTTGTATCAACACACCTCCAAGACCAATGTCAAAAGCATCCACGCGCAAAATAAAAGGTCAAGTGTAGTCAGGATATGCCAAAACCGGAGGAGTCGTCAATAGTTCTTTGAGATTCACAAACGCTCGCTCACAATCTGGAGACCAGATGAAAGATGACGTTGATGACTTCAGCAACGCTCGCAATGGTGTAGTGCGATCGGAAAGATGATCCACAAAACGACCGAGATACTGCACCTTACCCAAAAAGCACTGCACATCATTCACACACTTCGGAGTAGGGAACTTTAGAACAGCCACAAGTTTGTCAGGATCAACTTGCAAACCCTCACGAGAAATACGATACCCAAGATAAGTTGTGTCCTTGGACCCAAACACGCACTTTGACCGCTTCAGCTTTAAACCAACGTCGCGTAGCCGATCCAACATTTTACAAACATCACGAACGTGCTCCTCCCACGTCCCCTCTGAGTGGATCAAGACATCATCAATGAAGTCAGCAGTCACCTCCGGCATATCGCAAAGAACCTCATCCATCATCCGCTAGAAAGTTGCTAGAGCATTGTTCAAACCAAACGGCATCACCAAGAACTCGTACAAACCAAATGGTGTACGAAAAGCAGTCTTAGGAATATCTTCTTCGGCCATTGGTACTTGCCAATACCCAGAAGCAAGATCTAGCTTGGTGAACCAACGACTTCGCCCCAGACGATCCAAGAGATCAGCAGTGTGAGGAAGAGGATACACATCTAGGATCGTCACTTCGTTTAACGGATGATAGTCGATGCAGAAACGAATACTCCCATCAGGCTTCGTCACAAGATGAGGTTCACATGCCCAAGGACTCCGCGACTTCCGAATAACACCCTTCTCCAGCATTTCCTTGACGTTTGCTCATAAAATCTTGATCTCCTTAGGT